CACTAGCGTTACCCCCGCCATGGAAGCGCTTATTATGGTCGACGACAGGAGGAGGAGCCGCCTCACCCGTTCCGCCACACTCTGTACACATGGTGGTTAAGTTGCTGGTGGTCAAGGTGAAGCCACCACCGTCCCCCTGCCGGCATCTTCCCTACCAATGTCGCCTGGTATGGCGACCTGAGCGACAGCCTGCGATTCGGTGGATGATGAGAAACTTCGGCGGCTCGCGTCGAAGCCATGCAAGCCCACCGCCTCCATAAAAGAAACAGGGACCGTAAGTCCAATCGAAACGGAAGGTCCCCTGTCAGCCCCGGGACCGGAGCTCGCACTGCCGGAGGTTGCACCGCCGTATCCGCCGCAGAGGTTTGTCGGCGCTACTATGACCCCGACCCTGAATTTTCACAGAGATTCTTAGAAATGATTTTGAATCGGTAACACCACCCACCAAATCTTTGATACCCATTTCCACCAAGAAGTGATGGATTTTCCATAAAGTGTGAGTTTGAGGCTGAGCGGATGCTAAAGAAGGTACGGGCTGTGCGTTTATCACCGATCAGTCAGTCAGTCATTAAGTTAGAACAAAAAGTTGTACATATACGAATTATTTAAGTTCTTTTTAATAAAATAATGCTAAAATTTAACGAGTGAATTCAATATCTAAAACTTTTTAAGTTCATAGCAGCCCTAATTAAACAGTATCAGCGCCAAACGGCATTCTTTTCAAATGCCTTGATACAAAACGCGCAAGGTGGGAATATAAAAAAAAAAGTTATCGATAATAGCTGCGTCAATACACTCGATTTAATCATAGTATAATTAAAGAATTATTACTTTTCCCATACAAACATACACAAGTAAAATAAAAGAAAAAGATTAAATTAATATCAGTTTAACGCAAAAGTTGATTACCGATTTACAATTGGACGAGCATAGCCGCTTTTCTTACGAAAAACTATAATAAACAAAATAAAATATAGCAAAAGCTATCTAACCAATTGCATACAATAATATGTATGATCATATGGTATATACAAATATATGATTAATTATCATATAAACAAATATTTTAATTTATCGAAAATGAAATGTGTTAATGTAAATAATATAAAGTGTATCACATCGGTAGTAAGTAGTTAAAGTTTTTTATTTGATTATAGTAATTCAATGGGTTATTATCTTTCACAGAGTAACTCGCCAAAATTATACAGTACGTATAAATGCATGTATGGTATGGGCATACTATAAAAGACAACTACAACTATACAGTTATGTATGTATGTATGGTTGTGTTTATACGAAGTTCTGTGTCATTGCATAAAATATGGTATGGGCATACTATAAAATACAACTACAAATATACACTTACGTACATATGTATGTATTTATGGTTGTGTTTATATGTAGTTCTGTGTCATTGCATAAAAGATAGTCGCTAAAGCAATGTCTGTGTCTATGCTTATAAGTTTTAAATCTATATACATAGATGGTTTCTGTTAGTAAACATGTCATTTTTTATATTTCTATATATTTACATACATATCTATTATAGATAGCTCCGGTTGCAAATTGAGTTTTGTACAAAAAAAAAACGTTGTTGCTTAAGGCTCTTTTGCTCAATCTCTGGCTGTGGCTTTTTACACGTAAAAGGTATCCCTTATGTAAACGTTAACAAACTGCCAGATAAGGGTACACATTGATTAGGCTGCCCTCACATGGAATATGATAGAGATTCTGACAAGATCAGCTATTTTAATACTACAAAGCTATAAAAGTTAGAGACTTGAAATTTGAAATATGCATATATTCTTCCATCATGTCTTGCATGTACTTTGTCTCTTCATAATTCCAAAATAACAATTAAATCCATTTTAAGACTTGGCTTTTTAAGTATACATCAAAGTCTATAAAAGCTAGATGCACCAAACGTAGGCTCACGTATAGTACACACAGATTTTACATATTTCAGTATTGAATATGTCCATTCTCCCGAAATCCATAAGAGGCTCTAGTCGGGAGTTCCCGACTTGACGAATGAACCTTGAACCCTCTTCTGCTTTAGCAGCAATAAAAATAAATTTAACAATAAAAAGAAGAAATTTGTTACTCTGATTTCATTATTCTCACATATCTCCAATAGACAAAAAGGGTATTGAATGTTGGGCGTGCCGAAGATAATGATTCTTGTTATTGTTATTTTTTTAAAAAATTAATTCAATTTGTTTCTTTTCGTTTTAGCTATTCACTGAGAGTTGAAGAATTTATAGATGATATCTACCTCACAGCATAAAAATGATTGGCCCCAGTTCACAAATAAGCAAGATACTATTAACGCTCTTGTTTCTGTTAATAGTGTTTTATGTGTTTATGGATTTTGAGCTGTATCTGCGAATTCATAATTATGCTATCAACCGAAATTACCACATCAATACAACGACAACGCCATTGTCGTCGATGGAACCAACCAATTTGGCATCCGATTCGAGCAGCGGCCTGAAACCACCCACCGTTGAAAAAGAACCGTCCTACGAAGATTATACGTGGATATCATGCAATATAAATCCACTTTGTCATATTACGGTCAAAGCGATACTGCTGGATCATACCAATCACTATCTATTCGCACCGCTGGCAACAATCTTTGACAATGTGGTTGGCATCTCGCAGTCGACGTTTATAACACCCAACATGATATCATTTTTTCATGTTGTGGTAGCTTGCGTATCGGGAAAACTTGTTGCCTCCGATAGCTTGGGATACAGGCGGCTTGGTGTACTGCTCTTTCAGATACGCACGTTCCTTGATGATTTGGACGGCCATGTGGCTCGTGTAAGGAAACATATACGCGGTGAGCGGTCGGAGATTGGAACGTCTGGCTATTATGTTGACGGACTGTGCGATGGACTTGGTTGCATTGCGCTACTTTTTGGCATATTCTTCTTTTTAAAAAGTAACCCACCTCGCCGAGGCTACTCAATAATTCCAATGAGCGACACCAAAACTCCAGAGCCAACGATTATTCCTAAAATTAAGGCAACCACGCGCAAGGTTGCGAAAAATGTTATTAGCTTTACTGGCCAACTTTTACTAAGCTCTACGGCGTGGAATCGCTATATCGCCGTCTATCAGAATATGTTGGAGCGAGAAGATGTCAACAGCAGCCAGTACCAGTGCCAGAACTATATATTTAAGTCCACATTATTTTTTTCTGTGGCCTGGATGTGGCGCATTGTCAACGTGCATGCCTTGCTTCATTGTGTTTTGCTTAGTATCTTTTGTGACAAATTATGGGACTTTCTACGAGCGATACGTTACAGTGGATATATAATCTTACTAGTTGCCATTTGCTTAACTGAAATGCACATATTGGAGGCCCAGAACTATATATTTAATTCATCAGCGTGCAGTAACATCTCACTGTGATTTTAACTATATATTACTGAAAATACAATAATATTTTTGTAGTCGAGATCAACAATGCCTTTTTATACCCTGTATCCATAATTTTAAATTGTGTTTGTGTGCAAACTACATATACATTGTGATTGTGCAACTTAGGGTAAATACTTTAGTATGTATCTGTCAAATATATAATTATGCAAGTAGATCAAAAACGTGCACTTATTTGCGTGCAACATATCCTCTACAGTTAATGTGTGTTTCGTTTGTAGAGGAGCACAAAAGCGACAATTTATGATTTCATTTGATCTATATTTAGTTTATACCCCGAATCCATTATTAGCACCCAGACTTGGGCATTTTAAGCATCCCAATAAACAACTATTTCGAAGGTGTTGTATGATATGGTACGTTACGCTGGAATCTTTATTATTTTGCTATTATTTAACAACTTATCTTTATAAATTTATGATACTTACATTCATGCTCTGCATGCGCTTCTGTTCTCTTTTGCTTCTATAGTCTCAGATCGTGTTTATAATAGACTCGTTCGCTGGAGGGTCTTTGCCTTTAAGCACTTAAGGCGCTTAACAGCCAACTGACATCGTGTCCGACATATACATTCGACCAAACCTGCATTACAGGCTGCTCTGCCAGCGTCTCTACCAGATAGATTGTCGTTGCCTTAACTATCTGCTTCTAGAGCTCATCCTTTGTAATGTGAAGAGACGCTCAAGCCTAGGGACTTCAGGTAAAAGTATTTCTTCGGAGCCTCATCCATCCTACGCGCCGCACTGCACGGGCAAATATGTAGCACCCGAGGCGTGGTGCTGTCACCCACAACAGGATGACCATATACAGACCATATATCTAAATCAAAGATAAGCTGAGCCGTCACATTACTATACGATTGCAGATCCATTTATCCCAATCTGCTGGACGGTGGTTACCGGCTTACTTGGCATATGAAGCCCCCCTTATTGGCTTTCACAGAGCTCTTGTTTTCGTAGTTAGTCTGTCTCGTAGCCCAGTCCAATTTCATATTGCTGGGCATCTTAGCAACAAGCTCGTTTAGCAGTGTGATAGTGGTGCATACCAACGGCTACAGTTCAACAGACCTTTCCTCATGAGCATGGTCCTCCAGGGGGATGGTACGCAACCGACACCAAAGTGCAGGACCTGCAACTGTTCGCTCAGCACCTAGAGGCAGTCCGGCAAAGACTAAAAAATCTTAACACTCGCCAATCTGAAATCCCAAAGGAAACATCCGAGCTGAAGAGGAACTAGTTTTCAAGTCTCTAACTCTTATAGGTTCTGAGATCCCTTAGTTCATACATATGGACGGATGGACATGGCTAGATCGACTCGGCTATTGATGCTGATCAAGAATATATATACTTAATGGGGTCGGAGATGCTTGCTTCTGCCTGTTACATACACTTGCATTATACCCCTTTACCCATTTTTACTGGGTGCAGGGTATAAAAATTGTTTGAAAGATTCTTCGTGCTTTATGTGAATGTGCTTTAAACTAATTTAAGCCAAGAGGCTGGCTTTTCCCAGTTGGGAAAAATTGAATAGTTAAAAATATTGAAGTTCGATAGTTGAGATAAAATGATTTTATTTTATTTTATATTAATGGTACCATATGGGTAGAGTTTTTATATTTTATAATTAGAGAAAATTTGATTTTTCCGCAGAATTTTGGGATCCGCTGCTCTGATTTGACCAAGAGTTACCAGATGGGCAGCCATTCTGTAAAATATTTGAAAAAAATGTATGTTTCGAAATGCATCTTAATGGCAAATTCTTACCTGATCGTTAGCAGCCGAGTTATCACCTTTGTTCATGCCGCCAGAACCAGAATTGTTTGGATTGTTAGAACCTTTGCGGTTGCCCGAGTTCATATTAGAAGCGTTGGAATGCCCCCCGTTGTTTTGAGCCATCCATGATAAAAAATTGCCTCCCTGAGAAGTAACTGAAAGAGTTTTTTGTTTGAAACAATGATAGTGTATAGAAGGCTTGCCTGCTGATCCTGGTTTTGATTTTGCAGCTGATTGCCAAGAAGGCTCCACTGATTCAACGCAGCAGCAACCAAAGCAGGGTTCATCGGCAATGAGTTTAAATTAAGTCCAACGCCTAAAGGGTTGTTCATGTTTTGCCCTTGATTGGAAGAGCTGGATCCTTGCGAATTTATGCCTAATGCTTGTAGGTTAGGCATGTCCAAATGTCCCCTGTTCATCCAACCACCATTGCCTACGTTGCCATTGTGTGGCTGGTTCATGCCATGAAAATTATTCTGCCTATTATAGGGAATACCACCTTCTTGGCGGTTCATGTTCCCACCACTATTATGATTACTACCGTTTGTGTAACCCCCACCCATATTTCCACCAAAATTATTGCTACCCATTCCGTAGCCACCACTGCCAATGTTGCTGTGACTATTGCCGATTGCAGTGCTATCACCTCCGTGTGCATTGTGTTGATTATTACCTCTATGATGTCCGCTTCGGCCTGAGTTCATGTGATTTCCTTGAGGATGGTATGAATGCATCCCGAAATTATTTCCAGAGTTATAGTTGTAATTTTGGCCTTGATGGGTCCGATTTTGCTCGGCTTTGGGAGCAGCGTTTGAAACGTGCACTGACACCCCTAATAAAATGACACATTTGTACACATATACATATATACATATATATATTCAATTAATTGCTTACCCTTAATAATATGATCCTCACCACAGAGAGATTGGGCTACATCAGGATCAAGGAACGTAACAAAACTAAAAGCACGAAATGGTCGTGGTATAAAAACATCGGTCACTTCTCCAAATTTCGAAAAGTACTCGCGTAGATCATCCGAGTTAATATCCTCCGTGCAACGGCCTACAAATACTTTACATGGCACCTGGTGACCCATGCCCTATGGGTAAAAAAAAAAAAAAACTGAGTTAAGCTTAGTTTAACTCAAAGGTAGTTTATTATCACCTTTGAATTTGGTACTTTTACTTCACACCAACGGCCATCGATAAGATGACGATTTGAGAGTACACGCATTTGGGCTTCGTAAGAACCGAAACGTACGAATCCGAAGCCCTTTGACTGGCCCGACTTGACATCTTTTTTTATTTGTGCCATGAGCACTTCGCCATAACCCTCAAAGTATTCACGTAAACTGTCTTCAGTTGTTTTCCAAGCCAGTCCCAAAACGATCAAATCAGTGCATCGTAAACGTGTTTCAATACGTTTTGTTTTTGCCGTTGAATTTTCCAAGTTATCATCGCTTTTACGTTTGTTTTCTATGGGAGGCAATATGGGGCGATAAGCACTGTCGATCTGTGGGACAGAACTTTTGAAATTTGGTATACCTTTTGGAAACACACAAAAGTAGACATAATCTCCCCAATCCGAATCGACATTTGGTGGAAATAGTCTGCCTTCGTTAGAGCGAACACCACGAACAGCCTTCGAATCCATATTCCTGTATTTAAGTCCACAAGAACCAGGAAACTGCGCCTGAAGTGTAGATATTAACAAAGTTCCATCTTCTTCAGCTGGCAGCTCGATTGGTTCATCACCCTCCTCCTCGGATACTTGCACGAAATCCATTTTGAGATTTTCTCAAAATTCTAAAAATGTTTAAAATATTAATCCAATTTATATGCATTTTAATATGATTTCTATGTTATCTACACCATTCAATCAACTGAAAAATCACTCTAATATACTCCAAATTTAATCCCATATTTGGATTTTACCTCAATGTATTCACTCACTCCGCAACAGATTGTTCACACATTGATTTGCCTACTAAATGCGTTTATGTGTAAAAAAACAAAACAAACAAAACATGGTATTCAAAATATTGTGTTGGTCTTAACTCTTATTAACTAGTTGGAAGTTTCTGGCTTTGCTCGGTCCAAGTTATTTGCTTTAAATTTTAAACATCAATTTTCTATTCATTTTCCTCCGATGGAAAATTGTATTCTACCTGTATTTTCCTGAACTCTGAAGCCTAATTATACTTTACATAGATATTTAAAAATGAACTTAAGGTCCATCGAATTAAAAAGCAAATTCGAAGCCGAAAAATAAACTTTACTTATGCAAATTTAATTAATTCCATTTTCGTTGAAGCACGTACTCATAAAATTCTTATGCAGAAATTTGAAAATGTAGAAGCCGATTCGAAACTTAAAACTTCGACCGAAAATCTTTGAGACGTACTTTCCTTTCAAAATAGTTGAGTTTTGCAGGAAAAAAAAAACGAGGTATATATTTATTTATATAAAAACACACACATTACACATATACCCAAATACATACACATATACACATTCATAAACACACACTCAATTACATGTCTTCCAAACACCTCACAGCCTATTGGACGCATACTGATATTAACATTTCAAATATAATAAATACAATTTTGAATATGTGCTAATTAAGGTGATGCAGATTTGATATAGTTTGCATTATATAAAAAGAAAAATGCAAGAAAATTACAATCAGATGCAATAAAGACATAAAAAAATATTTGTACATATATAATTATAATTAACTTAGCACTCGGATGTCTTCTTTTTTATTGATTTTTGACCATTTCTAAGTGAGACTTTATAAAATGTAGATTTTAAGAATTCGTTGGTGGTTCCATCTTTAGGGGTGGTTATGGATAGCAACCCCATCGACAGCGTCGAGTAGAGGGGGAATGCAGGTACCCAGATTTATGTACAAATAAGGAGCTTAACTAACGATAATATTTGCTTTATGATATATACAAGTTTTACAAAGTTAAATACATAACATAATGCAAACAAATAACAAATCTTTGTAAACACATTTTATATATATATATATTTTTTTTATTTTTGTTGTTGTCGGTCTTGATTTCTTAATAAATTCGTATATATTTCGTTTTCTTGAAAGTCTCTTTGGCATACGACTTTCTACATTTCTCAAATATTCGTAGCCAATTCAATTAATCGTCTTTGAAAAAGAAACATACAAAAAAGCGGACATGAGTATATCAAAACGGAGTATACATGTTTAAATATTGCAATGCATCCATTGCAACCTTAGAACCTAGTCTTATTATATCTGAATTTGAAACAATTATATATACTTTCTGTTACAAACGTTTGAATAGCTTCATAAACTGAACTTTTCTTAACTAAAAATTATGAGTTCTCAAGAAAACATATACATATATACTTTAACAATTTACCGTTCAGTATTGTTGTTATTCAAAAAGGAAATCAACCAAAACAAGTTTTCTTATTTATGTGTCCACCCCGCCCATTACCTTGAAGACTTTGATACCCCGAAAACAATAAAGAATTGCTATCTTCGAGTCGCCGAAGATAAAATACCTTTGCAGAATTGTGGCGTATGGGCTTGAAGGTATGTGTAGAATAGGGAAGCTCGCAGTTGCTCAGTTGGGTGAATATATACATATTTTGAAAAACTAATAGATTGTTTATACAAGAACCCACTTTTCGACCGATTATTCCTATGTGAGCTATATAATATAGTGTTCCAACAGCAGTTCATGTGGTACAATATACAATATTTTATAATTATAGTATATACATATATGTATATATACGAATAATGCTGTCAGATTAAGATGACAAAATGATTGAATTGAAATGTGTGTATGTAATTATAAATGTATGTGTGTGCGTGTGTGTATGTATGTATGTGTGTATATATATGTATGTGTGTATGCATGTAAATTGTCTTCTATACCAATAGCAGACCAATTTTTCTTGTTGCGCGGCAAATTGAAATAAGTAAACGTAATTATTAAAGCTGCTCTCCTCCTCGATTCTCAAAAATGTAAGTAAGGCTTGCAGGCTTCACCTATAAATTAGTCGCAGGCGGTTACAACGCTGGAAGCTGTGGAGCAGGAGGAGGACCACCATGGGGGCGGGGCAGGAGGCGTGTGTTTGTAGGTATGTATGTATGGTTGTGTATGTATAGTTATGTATGTGTGTGTGTGGGTATGTATGTATGTGTGTGTGTGGGTATGTATGTATGGTTATGTATGTGTATGTGTATGGTTATGTATGTATTAATGTGTGTGTATATACGTATGTATTAATGTGTGTGTATATATGCATGTGTGTGTATGTATGTATTTTCACATGAATTTTCACCATTTTAAACTAAAACCCACGCTTAAATACAAAATGCTATAAATTCAAAGAAAATATTTTTGGTTATAAAATATCAATTCTGCAATTGGTATTCCTTCAATAGAATAAACATACATATATTCATTTTTATACATGTGTGACACACATAGATAACTTAACCAATTTTGGCATTTACAAGCTATGCTGTCCTAATATATTTGTAATATACTATCAACATCGGAGCACTATATCACAAAATTTTCATAAGAAAAATCGCTTCAAATTGTACTTTTGTACTAACATAAAAGTAAAATCTTATCAGCAGACCACTTAGCTAATATGGAAACGATTGTGGCAAAATAGGGAAATATGCGGCTCATCTGATTTATATATGTACGTCTGCATGGATATTTACTCCTCGGCGTGCCGAAGAAAAGGTTTCTTTTTTAAATCATATTGAACGAAAATGTTTTTAAGTAAAAGTACATTTTCATGTACCGGCATAGACATAATAACTTATAATTTAATGCAGTAATATGCATATGTATAAAACGGTACACGTTTTTACATAAATATCTATTTAAAAATGCATACATTTAATGCACACGATTGAGTACATGTACACATGTACAATCTGAAAAGCGGTCTAACGCATACGCGTGTATGTACCCAAAAAAGTTGATTGGCGATAAGGCTCTCCTATATGGTTATACAACAATTCTTACACTATTTATTAAGGGTTAGTAGTAGCACTACAGATGTAATGCCTTCAATCAATATATGTATGTATGTTTTCAGTACAGCTCACACACGTAATATTTCCTTTTAATGCTCGCTCTCTCACAAGATTCACACACAGTCAGAACCAGATCGGAGTCACTTTTCTTCACGCTCGAATCTCGACACAACACACGCTAGGTCAATCTGCACATCCACTGTTTAATAAGTGCGTAATAAATACAAAGAATATTTACAATTTCGCTTTTAATAAATTTGAATTCGTAATGTACACCATTTCTCCTTGCAAAAAATGTGAGGATAAAATTTTCTGTATGTATACTAGTGACGAACGACAGCGAACGACAGAGCTCCGATATATCGATGATTGACTTAGGGATGCACCGGTTTTCTATCGATGTTACTTAGTCGCGTTCCCAATGTTGAAAATTAAATTTGAAGAATGCTACATCAAATATTTATTTCTTTTGTATAAAATTAATAAAACAATTCACAATTACAATATAAAGTCTTCAAGCCCAGGAATAATCGAACTCAGAATATTTTAATGTGAGCAAGCCCCATGATTGCTTGCGACTATTTTATTATGCCCAGAGCCTCGAGAGCCAAGCGATCGGTACCACGCGTATCTCACTTAGTGCGCAAGGTCTGTTTGTTTTGAGCTCCTGACAGCTCAATGACTTTGTAGCATTTCTGCAAATCAGTTGTCTCCCCTGTTCTACATGGACTCCTAAAGACTCCGTGAAATACTACCAACCTGCTGGAATTTACTTCCTTGGTTAATGATGCTTTCCTTTCTTAAATGCAAACTTATGTAATTTTCACTGACTTCAGTAAGGTGTTTGACAGTGCACCACGATCTCATCTATCAATCATGGCTACAGAAGATGTTTACTTCCCAGTGCTAGAAGTCTTCTTTAAGTTCAGAGTGTCCAATATAATAATTAAAAACAATGTTTTGCAGCTTAGAATACGGCCATGGGGAACGGGATGCGTATGCAACCGAAGTTAAGGGGTCGATAAGAAGGGAGATACGTTGCGCCCCGGGAAAGACTTCGTTCTTCACGGACGGACACTTGTATCAAACATTGAGCAAATTAACATCTACCTTGTGGCAAACTTAATAAAATACAGTTCGAAATAGACTTATTCCGACCAAATAAAGTTTATTTTGAAACAACATTTGCGGTAATTCCTACCGCAAATACTCGAGCTGACCCTTGTGCTGCAAAAAATTCGTACGCGAGCTGATGGACCCTGAGCTGCATGAAGGCAGCCTCCACAAAGTAAATGTAACCGAATATAACTGAAAGGTAAGCTGCCGTGGCCGGAGCACCTGTAGACATAATGTTAGTGTAATGAACGAGTGCATGTCCAGCTATGATGGCCGACGCAGGATGAGAAAACCCCATTACTTTAAGGGAGACGAGGTTGTGTTCATTACAAAAAGTAGGTCAGCCTGGCTCCAGAATAGGATGATTCAGATGATGATGTTATTTACTTCCGATACAGATTATTTGGTGTCTAAGAACCAGTAAACCAGCTTATGCGGCCCAATAAAAAATCAATTTACAATAATTATATTTATACTTTTAAAATACCACTAACAGCACCTTTAAAAATTCTCCTATGAAATCAGATAAACATAAAATTGATAGCTATTATTTAAAAGTTTGGAATATGCGCAAATGAATTTAATTTGATATTTTAAACAAGTCATCAATAAAATGATTGAATAATTGTTTATAAATATGCTTAAGTTGCATAATTAAACTTCATTAATTCGTTTTAAAAATTATAGATGCTCGTGGTGGATCTTATTTTTAATTTAAGCATTAAATTTTAGGTACATCATTTAGATTTTTTTTTGTTAGTATTAGACTAGTTCGGTTTCATATGTAGACTTTTGTCGGTCACTGTGTTAAAAACTGATAGAAAAATCAACAAAACTTTGCATATCTTTCGTGTTCTATTCCGTCATTCCAAGTTGATTTAGGGGATTTGACTGTAACGGACAAGTCCAGTTAAGTCAAGTTATTCCTTACATGGCATCAAATTGTTGATAAACTTTAAACGCCTATCAATTATGGAGCATACAATCCGGACTAAATTTATTCCCCAACAATTATTATATTTTATCGCTGGTCGGCGCTGCTGTCAACAATTTGCGTGCACGTTCCGAACCTGCGAGCACAATATACTTATTGGTTCAGCCCATACTTTGGGCTTACGTTCGCAATTCACATTAATTAACGGGCAGGAATGTGTAAAGGTGTTCAAACGGAAATGCAAACACTACATAAAAGAGCCAAAGTCCTTGACATTGGCTCCCTCAACTATAGTTGACATGTTCACATTGCTGGCTCGTACAAACGTTGTAGGAAAGGATGAGCTGCCAAATTGTGCGGACTATTTTGGCGGTCACTTTAGTGTTAAAGTTCCGTCAATTCATATTCCATTAACAGTTCTAACGCAACCAACAGTACGTCTGAAAACGGAAAAACATAGCAAGCTCTTGAGGAATGGCTCACTGTACGCGTACCACGAGGACATTCTTGGCTCAATTTATGGTCATCGAGTTATCATGTTTGATGGCAATCTTTGCTTGGATAAATCCATATTACTGCCGCTATTAATTTTGGAAGATTCCGAATCTAAAAATATCAACATCAAAGTTATTTGCATCGAGAAAGATAATATTCTAGCAATATACAATTGCGATCGTTTCGCCCAATGTTTGGGTGAAAATATTGGCGAAACTGTGGGCATCCAAGTGCCTCAGTATAATATCATTAGCTCTGCAACACATGTTGTGTACACAACTGCCAAAGCCTTTTTGCGCTCCTTATTTAACAAGGACTCAAAAAAATGCAGTCAAATTAGCCACTTTGTAATAAATGATGTGCACCTACACGCTCCTTATACTGACATTCTGCTATATGAATTGAAGCAAGCATTAAATTTCGATCGAAATCTTAGAATCATATTACTTTCACAAGAATGCGACTCAATGCGATTTGTGAACTTCTTTGGCGAGGGCACGAAATTCTGCATGGAGCCACTGAGCCTGATTAGCCCTAACATTTGTTACTTGGAAGATATCCATGGACTTATTGCATTGACTGATATTCAAAAAGGCCCAGAGATTTACAAAAAGCAGCGGCAAGTGTTCAGAAATAAAAACCAGAGAAATGAACAAATAGATAAATGTCTACAGGCATACGAGGAGCTTGGCAGCGATGTGGCCATACGTCCATTTCTTTATTCAATCAATTATGAGTCGGTTCCGGTTAATTATCAACACTCGGTTACTGGGAAAACGGTTATTTTGATTGCCTCCCAGCTGGGCAAAGCGAATCATCTGCGATTGTTATTGTTTATGGGCGCTAATCCATACATTTCGGACGCACAACATGAAAACGCCATAACTGTTGCAGCTTTAAATGGAAACGCGGAATGTATTGATATACTTGAAAATTTTGAGCTTCACGGTTATGTTGTCAGAAATGCCAAACCAGAATTTGTTGATTATGATCTTATCATCGATCTAATGTATCTTATATGCACAAAGTCGGATTTCTCACCAGGTAAGATAAAAACCCAATCATTGAACATTGTATGATCTTCGATTTTGATAAATTGTCAATAAAATATAAGTGTTCAGTCTGGCAGAGACCGAAAAAAAGAGTGCTCTAGTGGGAATTGTGAGGCTAGGACATTCTGCACACAAAATTAGCGCAGAGTGTAGGGTATTTTCTAGATATCACTATCGATTAGGTCGCGATAACGTTTTAATTATCGATAGTATCGATTCTTTATGTTTCATTTCCAATCATTTTATCTATGTAATTTGGGGTAAAATGCTCCGTATTTAATTGTCTCAGCAATTACCGTAATTTACTTATTAATCCACTTATCCAATGACATGTGATTTGAAAAAAAAACTTTTATCGTCATTAAAATAAATACAATTAATCAAATCCCTTTACTTATTAATAATGCATTTATGAATGATGAAAGATATACACATATCTTCTCTCTCTTTTAAATAGGGCATTCGTTTTCATTCACGAAAAATCGTTTATAAACATATCTACATACATTCAATTGGTCCATCTCTAAGTCTCTATATCGATAAATTTAACATTTCCATTACAATTTTATTTTTGATCGAAACGATACTTTAGTTTTGTGTTGTTTAATTAAAATGAACACAGTTTTGGAAAGTAATAAGGGCAAAGTTATTCCGGCTACTAAGCGTCCAGATGGCACATGGCGCAAAGCACGCCGAGTCAAAGACGGTTACGTGCCACAGGAAGAAGTTCCACTGTACGAAAGCAAAGGGAAACAGTTTGTTACCCAGAGACAAACTGGAGTGCCTCCCGGCATGTGTCCACTTTTGGCAGCTGAAATCAAAAAAGAGCGCGAGAAAAAGGAGAAGGCTAAAGTAAAAAAAGTTGAAAGGCAGTCACCTAAAATTTTATTGAAGCCAACATCCCACGCTACGGAAGTGCCCATCTGTACAACCTCCCAAATTAACCGTGATGCTCCAAATGAGTCTGAAATTTCGAAACTAACAAATACCTTGGATGACACCCTTACGCTGGGTGACGACGGCCTTGAGATTGATTTAGCCAAGCAAATAAAAAAATTGAGAAAAAAAATACGCGAAATTGAGCTAATAGAAAGTAGAATTAAGGCGGGCGACATAAACAAACTTGACAAAGATCAACTGGAAAAGGTGAAAAAGAAGCCGGAAATTTTAAAGCAATTAAAGAAAATCGAAGAGAGTTCTACTGCCATACTGAACACATAGGTCTTTTAACTGAATAAACTTGTGTTAAAGTTAAGTTCAACATACCGTACATGTCTGTTAAATAGTTTTAATTTGTGACAGCTAACTGCATACATCTGTTTTAAAAATGTGTGTTTTCGTTTATCTGTTCAACATTTTGCCCGATTAGCAAGTACGGCCTTTTTTTTAAATTAATTTATAAATAAATACGAAACTATGCATATTACATTTTGTGTATACCTTTTCATTTTATTTATGACACTTGTATTTTGCAGGAAACATATTGATCGTTTTGCCGACTTTTTACCATATAGTAAAACTTAACTATATGTTGTTAAGTCATTTATTGACAGGCAACTTGCAAGAGTTTTCCATATTCTTGTTGCACGAGAACATGGACAAGGAATACTTATACTCTTTAGTCAAATGCCGCAAGGAAAATAAGTTGGTCGTTTTATCCACTGACATAATCGAGTCCTTGCCACTTCCCATATCCTTTCAATACCTAATAGACACAGCATGCCAGAAAAGAACATTATACGACGGTATCAGCAACAGCACTGAGGACAGATATGAATGGGTAGCAAAAGATTGTCTGCTGAGGAGACAATTGATTCTGAATGATGCTGAAGGTTGGTTTACAAATTTGTTTAGCTCGCATAATGTAAATCTAAGTAAATATAATTTTCAGCTGTTTGTGAAAAACACTGTTTTCGCTTAATATCAAAAGATGCATTCCAAATGCTGAGCGGAACGAGCAAGCCTCAGCTACAGACAATGCAATTGGACAAAATCTGTTTGACTGTCAAATTATTGTCGCCAAACACGATTATTAGTGAATATTTAAACTTTACTATTGCACCGCCGCCATTAATAAACGTACACCAGACTGTGCAGTTTCTCAAAAAGATTGATGTGTTAGACGAATCTGAGGACGTCACATGGTTAGGCTGTCGGCTAATTGATATTCCTGTGCCTTGCCAACTTGGCCGAACTTTAATTTTTGGCATCTTGCTACAATGCTTAGATCCGATATTAACTATTGTCAGTTCGCTGATCACATCGGACCCACTGAGCATACCCTCAAACGAAGAAATCGACTGTATATGGGATGGATTTACCATTTACATTCAAAATCGCATTAAAAATGAACGTGCTCGTTTAGCGGAAGACCAATTTTCAGATCACTTGATTTTCGTTCGTCTGTTTCAAGAATGGCAAAGCCGATTTAAAAACGACAAGCAACCTTTATACCTTACCGACGAGTACGAATTCATGCTAAATGGCCTCATGGAACAGCTGAATTTAACCCGCATCAGACTCGTGAGTGCGTTGCGAGCGGCTAATTTGATACACAGCCAAGGTCAATTGAGTATACAAAACCTCAACATAAAATCGGGCAACTGGCCTTTAATAAAAACTGCCCTTACTGGCGGCATGTATCCCAACATTTGCGCAGTAAATGATAAACAAATATACCTCAACTCGGCTCAGTCAAGCAAGGTTCATTTGCACTCCAATACGGTACTTCGGGACTTCTTGGAACCATTTAAAGTATCTGCTCGCCGTATTTGCACGCAATGGATGGTCTGTACGAAACAGAAGAACAACATAAAGTATGCAACTGTTGTGGTCCCTCTAGCCGTAGCTATGTTTGCGGGTAAGCTTGAACATGTTTCGTAAGACTAACCTTCATATTATTGTTGCTTACAGGTTCAACGAAATTGGGACTTGGACAGATTACAGAGATTCAGTCGCCGTCGGATAGAACCAAGATTCATTTCTTTATAGACGAATGGATGTGGATGGTGGCGGCCAAGTCCGATATCGAGCTGGTGTTGAAAACGCGGCAACAATTTTTCAAAGTGTATCATAATTTCCTTAAAAACTGCACCGAATTGGAAAAGTGGCGAAGCGAATCGCCCAATTCGACGCAACATTCACTGTTCGAAGCGTTGACAATAATATTTGCAAATGAAGACGCAGCTGCCGGGTTTAAGGAGTGTTCCTACATTGGTTTTCGACCCACTTTAAAGCTACCGGCATTATATATGCTAAGTGTCAATGCGCATTTCACTTGGCAACAAACAGATGAAAAAACTGTTTTAACGAATAGAGCACCTGGTTTTGAAAGTATATTGCACCATATTGAAAAACATTATTTTTTGCTCTATACAGAAGATAATCCTGGGCAGTTTTACAAAAAAAGCGATGCGTCCTATATGGAAAGTGTCATAGGCAAGTTTGCCAGGCCGATTGAATCACCTCGTAGACATATTTACGTGATTTTGTATTCAAAAAAACCCGATAGAATGATCAGCATTAGCCGAGCGAAAATTCAAAAGGGTGAATTTGTTTTAAAAGAATATTTTAGGAATGCAATCCCATTGAGCGACATTTTGTAAGTATTACAATAGGATATTGTTTTTTATATATAATTGATATAATTTTGTACGTTTGATTTCCTGTTGTTTACAATCAGAAATTTTATTGATAATATATATACATACAAATTTTAATTACAATACAATACTATTGCTTTAAAGGCAGGCCTGTGCATCTTTAAATGTGAAAGCTCCCAGCTTTGATGGTCGGCTTGTGTCAATTCTTATCGACAAAAAGGTTGGAAATTTAATTATGGATTTATTTGCTTTTCGACACCATTGGATACACAAATAACATTTAGAGTTAAGTTTACAATGTGTTAGTATTAATGGCGTTCTGTGTTAGCCATAGCATAAATATGATTAAGACAATCTACGAGACTCAGTCACCAAATAACTTAAGCATACACTTGGAATACATTGCCTTTACATAAATACATCAATTGAAGTGATTTTACACATATGTAATCTCGAGAATACTTAATTATGTGTTATTATAGTTTTTCGGTTTAAATTGAGTAAAAAATGTGTACTTGAAAATGCATTTTCATAATCTTACACAAATATAAAATGTTTTATGCGGTGACTACGGAAAGTTAACAGGTGATAACAAATATTTCTTTTCTATAATACATTTGGTTTATTTCTAAAAAAAATATTCGAGATTATTACGGAAAGTACATGTACTATATTCGAATACACGGAAATGGTAAAGCAGATTTACAACTGTTTGAATTTTATCAATGGCAGCCACACGACTTCACAATCATATTTCTATACTTTTTCAAGTTGACATTCTCATCGTTGAGATGATATAAAACAGGTAATGCTCCCAGTCGTGTTGGTGCACAGCATGGTTTTGGCACCCTTTTCGGCTCGAGCAAGTGCACCAGAGTTTGAACAATTGCATGATTTGTGGCATTCATGTGTGCATTTAGTGGAAAATTGCATTCTCCACTGCAATAGAAAGCGCCGTAGCCCTCCGGCGCGATTATCCAGTCATGCCAGCCCAAATCCTTAAAGTCAATGTACAGTGTTTGCATCTGACAGCTTCGCGTGTTTTCAATTGAGTTATCTATAAATGGATTTACTGGCTCAGATTTACTTTTTTTGCGCTGATGTAGAGTGCTGCGTTTAGTTCGCTTCGGAGTACTGTGGCCAGATGTGGATTTAATGAGTTCAGGACCTCTGAAAAATCCAATCATAAAGGGCTGATTTTCATCATCCACCTTTGTTCTGCGATGTATTAATCCGATATCATCGAGTTTAATTTCTCGGTCAGGTTTGTTCAGTGCATGTGCACCGATATAAATACCGTGATTTTCGTTTGAATTTACTCGCCAATCATGCAACGCCTCCGTAACATTGAGCTCCAGCCAGCCCACATAGTCACCTGTTGTGTTGACCGAGGACAGCGGCTCGAGCATGTTCGGGGCCGATCCTCCCGAGCGTAACATGTAGACTGTGACAGTAAACTGTTTGTTGGTTGTGGTCCATTTGCCTTCGTTAGAGTTTTGGTAGATGCGTAGTTCGGCCATCATTAGATAATTGTCAGCGGGAATATTATTGACATCGAACCATAGTCGGCGTCCGTGCTCGTGGCGCATTTCTTCTACGTTGTGATTGCGTTTGTTCAGGAAAGTCATTATAATGTCGCTCTCATCGATGGCACGCTTATCCAGATCTGTGATGAAATTCTGCTCGCTTTCATTTGTATCACGCTTCGAGCGGCTATGATCACTTTTGTTTTTAATAGCCAGACCCTCTTCGGCGGTAATGCGGTAATAAACGTCAAGCAAAAACTTGGGCGCCGATTTTCTAAGGGACAAGCCGTGGCTTCGGTGGTGTGAAGGACGAGCGGCAATGCCCAGGAATTCCAATATTTCATGTGAGACGTCCAACTTATCATCGTCGGTCAGCACACGTTCCATGACTGTCTGATCTTTACCATTATCGATGTATATGCCAGACTGTGTTGAGTGAGTATAGGGTGCAGTAAAAATAATTAATATCAAGCAAAGCGATGGTAAAACGACAAGTGATGCTGTCATGATGTTTCGCTCGATGAGTTATTATATTAAGCTGCTGGCATCTAGTTGTATGGAAGCCTATGCTGTTTCTGCAATCGTTCTACTGTGATATTTTATTTGTGTAGTTTTATTAATGTGTACATCGAAAATACATACACACTTGTATTCGGCTCGTCGTGTGTATCTTAATCCCATGGATGCATTTCTTTCTTAAAGGCATTTCCTCACAAGTTGGCAGGGCTGCTACAATGATCTGCAGGGCGTAAGAACTCCTGAACAACGTTTGCTGGTTCTTTTGCTCTACGGTTCGTTAAATATGATTTTATACTTGTATAAATTCGATAAAAATGCCATTATTAATATGCTGGCAGCATTATTGAATTTAAATTTTTGCACTTTTCATAATCTGTTGATATTCCATTTTTGCAAGAATCTATATAGTAAATATACAGTTAATTGGCAATATCTTTTTAAGCGAAACGAATCCAAACCCATTAATTACTTCCGCGCAAAGTCGTATTGTCAACGCTTTTTGTCCCAAACCAAACATATTTTACTGCAACACTTTACCAGAAGCAAGATTCAAATTTTATCCAGAGCGCGCGCTTTTCATCAATATTAAACAGCTGTTCATTCGATTTTTAGTACATATAATTTTAAAATAACTGTGACCAGGGATTCAGGGACTCGCCAGCATTTTAGTTATCGGGAAATTATTTTATTTTCGATAACAATATTAGTAAAAAATCAGCTGACGTCTCTTGGCATAGTGCTCGAATAGCTGGCAGTCCATTTGTAAAAGAGAAACTGTCAGAGACGAGTTTGTTGAGCATAAATTAAATAATACGAATAATTTACGTGTGAAGCTACACAGTATTTTTTGTTAAATACATGTAAATATATCTGCGAGTGCATCGGTGTTTGTGTTTGTTGTTCGGAAGTGAGATTCTACAGGTGTGTTTATAAAGAAAATGTTTTCATTAATTGGCCGTGTTTAAATACATATATTATAAATAGCTGTGTCTTGTATAATTATATGATTGAATTCATGGATAAATATACCTAATATTCTTAGCATACACATATATACACATACATATGTATTTTGATACTACATGTGTTATTAAACCTGATTCGTCATTGAATAGAAATATCAATATTTCGCTTAAAATATATAAAGTATAGAAAACTATAAAGTATGCAACAAAAATATGTAACATATATATAGATATGTGTATTTGCTTTTAATATGCACATATATATTAAAAAAGTCAAACAGATTACACATACATGTTTGTAAATTTGTATGTATTAGTACATATGTATATGCATATTTTTTTAAAGAAAGGCTTTCAAACTCAACGGCTCTATAATTAACAAGAGCCCAAAACTGTACGCACGTGCATATGTATGATGTCACCGTTAAATTGTATATATATGTATGTACGTATGTTTATCCGAATGAAACATTAATAGCTAAATATGTTTGGGTGGGTCAGGCAGAATAAGAAACACTTTTATATTATATGAATGATTTTTCATCTACTCAAATGTACTCAAATTAATGTATGTATGATGTAAATATAGCTTGTTAAAAATTATATTGTTGATATTACAAAAAAAAAAAAAAATTGGAAACAAAAAACTGCAAACTCTCATATAGCATGCATAGAATTTCATTTTTTTAAGGTATTAATGTTATAATGAGCGACGGTAATTAAAATACATTTTTCACAGTGTAATGCAAATGGAAGAAGAAGAAGCGCAGCCGCTACGTAAACGAAAAGTTTTGAAAAGAAAAGAGTTAAGAGGATAGCTATTTAGATGAACATTATAACATATTGTTAGCGAGGGAATCAGTATACAGTTGTAATTCATCCCAAGGGAAATTATTTTTTGCATTGTCCAACGGACATTTGTATATATGTATATTAATATGGAAATATTATGCGTGATAATTACCATAAGTCATGCAATGGGACTCACCTAATAGTTAACGCATCCTTGAAACACGCACGAGTATTTAAACTTAAAACAAAATAGAGGCTCGCCTACTCGACACGCCTTTTGATGCTGACCAAAATGATATATGTATATATATATTATGTGGTCGGATATGCTTCCTTTGCACAAATACATTATATATATGTATACACAAATTCTTCTAAAAAATTAAAGATACTTGATCTGTATCTATACTTAAATCAACATTTTTATTTGGAGAGTCTAGCTCTTAAACCCTTTGGATTTCGATATCTATTTTTATCGATTGCTTTGGAAACGGGTCAAGTAATCGATGCTTAGAGACAAAATTGGAAACGGGTCAAGTAATCGATGCTTAGAGACAAATAAGTACTGCACGAGTACTGGAAGGATCTACGAGGACAGATGAGCATGATTAGATCAGATCGTCTCGGCTCTATGTGCTTATGGGGTCGCAGATGCTTCCTACTGCTTATTCAATTATTATTATACACTTTTTACACATTATCAAAGGGTTCGGGGTATAAAACAGAATAAATTCTTAACTTTGGTTAATTTAATGCAATATATTCTGCTACTTACTTTTACTTTAATGTTCTCATTCCAGGATGGATGAACTTAAGGGTTTCTTGAGACAAGCCGGCCAAGAGTTTCTCAATGCTGCCGGCGAAGCGGCAATGGGTGCCGCCAAGGATGTTGTTGGATCTGTGATTAACGAAATATTCATAAAGAAGGAGGCGGATACCAAGCGAGTCCTTCCGAGCATTAAGAATATGCGAGTTGTAAGTGATCAAAAGCAAATTGTAATTATAATTATTGCAATATTAAATAAGCAGTTAAACTGGCATGCATTATAAATCTCATATCTCCTAAAAACACTTTCAATATTTCTGCTAATTATGTTTCGGTCAAACGATCCATTAAAACTTAGCAACCCTTGCATAGCGAAGCTGCCCCTTATTGTAATGTAAGTAATTTAGTTGGCGGTGCCCTTTGCAACTCCACAAAATTGTCCTACTACATTTCTATGTGTTCGTGTTTTTTGTATACATTATCGAAGGTATAATTTCCTGATTTCTATTACACTCTCTGTTTGTCATTTCATCTTAAGTTTCAAGCAAGACTTTATTTAAAATTTATATAAATCGTAAGTAATTCGTTGTGAAAAACTAAATATATAAATATAATATGTATATATCGAACCGCACAGCCCAAACCGTTACAGCTAGAAATCTGAATTAAATGTGGAGTAATCGTTAAAATAGGTTCTATAAATCTCTATTGTTTATCATGCGATCAGAGAGAGGTATTTCACATTTTTCGGAAAATCCAATCCACCTCGGTGGAAAGTTTAGTTGGGAAGTTTTAAGTTTTGTACAATCAGCTTTCAGATTATTTTCAAAGCGTTTTATGAAAGTTTTTTGTTTACGATTGGCTTCAAACTCTTTTTCAAAATCTTTGTGAAAATTTATATCATACATTCCGTAAACTTCATCACTTTTGGGATGAAAATTTGCATTTATGCAGACCTTGAATAGATTTTCTTGGCGGTCAATAGGGGTCAAAGGTTACAAGTACGATTTAAATTTCGTTGGTCGGCTTCAAACTTATTTTCAGAGCTCAACATGAAAACTTAATCAAAAATCCAAACTCAAACTTCAAAGATCTTTGAAAAACACATCTCAAAGGTTGATTGAACGAAAGTTTATATTTTCGGCTTCATTTCCACTTTTCGAATTTTATTCCAAGGACATCAAACTCGGTTTTAAATATCCATCTAAAGTATAACTTAGCTCAAGCTCAAGATAGTACGGGTAAATACAAATTTTCTTATGGATAGGAAATGTCTGTCTTAAAATCGAAGCAAAAAACAAGCCCGGAAAAGATCAGCTGACCAATAAATGCTCAACGAACAGACCCAACCGAAAGATCTAGAAAGTTTACATTTTTACCATAGTTACCTGATGTGATGAAGGTGGAATCGCGGAATCCGACATAAGCTGCCCCTTCTCAGCTTCAACAATCTGGAGCGCTAATTAATTTATATAAACTGGTTTTGGTCTCATAAATATGTACTATGGCAATCCGTTGAAAAATACGATATTTGAGATTCAATCGGAAAAAGAGTTCCCGAATAGGTCACATGAATACGGCAATTGAATAACTGGGTATGTTAAAGTACATTTCGTATAGATAACAAAAAGTTTTCTATTAAAATCATTTTATGTTGCCAATTTGGACTTCTTTCTGTCTGACGTATCCTATTAAAAACTGTCTGAAAATATACCAAAAGTAATACCCTTACAGGAAAGCAATCCTCTTTATTCTTCTATTCTATAACATCAAAACGTATATGAAGCAGATTCAAATTGAACTGATGATCGTACAGCTATAGATCGGAAGAGAGGGACGCAAACCTCTTTAGTCCTATTCAAGTGCACTCAAATAATAAACGGCTGTGTTTTGTATATTGTTATTGTTGTTGTTAAGACCTCTTCCTATCTAAACGCCACTGGAATATTATTAAATTTGATATTTTACTATCAAAATCGTTTCAGTGGCTTTAGCAGGAATGGGATCACAAAAAATGTGTTTGTCCTTTAAATATATAGATATTAAGCCTAAATTTGTAAAATATGTACAATCATGTCGGATATTTGGCAATATGTACAACTAATTATAACTTGAGCCTTCTTTTTTGATTTTTTTTTTCTATTTTATTTACGATCTTATAATAGATGAAAAGAATTAAGTGTTTTTTTATGTAAATGTATACAACAGGCAGGAATGGAACATCTCCGATATAGATAAATATATTCTAGATATATTCTAGATCCCCATCAATATCCGGGTTGATCTAGGCAGGTCCGTCCGTCTGTCTGTCCGTCGGCCTGTACGGGTTGCTTTCAAATCAATTGATAACTTGTTCCGTTTCAATAAAGTCGATAAGAATCTACAACGAAATCCGTTTTTTTAAGGTCTTAAGAGTTTTTCAAATTTTTTTTGAATAATTCTATTATGGTCTTTTATCCTTTGAATAGCGCTGTAAATAATCAGCTTGAGTTGGTTTGGGAAAGGGTTCAGGGGGAAAGGGTCCTTTTACTTGCGTTTACTATAAAATTGTGCAGAATTTCTAAATCACATTAAATCTGTAAAAATGATTTCCTATTAAAACAATACAATTATTATAAAAATTCGAAGTAGCTCCAAATAACAATTTAATTTTTCTAGTTGGGCGAAAATAACTCGAATCTTGGATCGCACTCGGAGGTGCAGGATTATGAGACACTAAGGAATAGCTGTTTGACGAACGGATCACTATTCGAGGACACACTCTTTCCGGCCAGCAATGAGTCCCTCATGTTTTCACGCCGACCTGACCGATATTTCGAATGGCTGCGACCTCATGTAAGTCTCTATAAGTTTCGGTTTATTCTAATGGTAATGGTAATAATTTATAGTCAATATGCCAGTTGTTTAAATATTTGTGTACATGCTAATGATTAAATGACGATAAAGACAAACAAATTTTACAATTGATAACTAAAGATCATTATAAATGAAGCTCTTTATAGGGTCCATACAATTTTTTTAATTCTTGTATAGATGTGTAATAATTCCTGATGAGAATTGACAGTCGAGTCAGAGTCTGTCCGATTCTTTAAAAAAAATGTGGAAAAATGTTATATTTTATTTTACGTTTATTCCGAAAGCTTTAAGTCTTTCACTTCGCGTTCAGCATAAACATTTTTTTGACAATAGCGTATTTGACTTCTTGTATTTGCATTGGCGAACAAATTACATAAACAATATTTCGATTTCTTCCAGGAAATCGTTGACAATCCTCAATTTTTCGTCGAAGGCTATTCAAGATTCGATGTGCAACAGGGCGAACTTGGCGATTGTTGGCTCTTGGCTGCAACCGCAAACCTGACACATGAATCGTCTCTGTTCTTCCGTGTGATTCCCCCAGAACAAAGTTTCGAGGAGAACTATGCTGGAATATTCCACTTTCGCTTTTGGCAATATGGTAATGTTAAAGATACTCATTTCAAAAAATCGATATAAAGATAGTTTTTTTTTACCAAAATTTAACAGGTAAATGGGTTGACGTGGTTATTGACGACCGTTTGCCAACGTATCATGGAGAGTTGTTGTATATGCATTCGGCTGAGAAAAATGAATTCTGGAGTGCACTTTTGGAGAAGGCATATGCGAAGTACGAATATTAACCGTGACGTAAAGCTGTACTAATTATTATACTAATTATTCCTTAGGCTTCACGGATCGTATGAAGCCCTTAAGGGAGGCACCACATGCGAGGCGATGGAGGATTTCACTGGAGGTGTCAGCGAGTGGTATGATCTTAAGGAAGCGCCAGCCAATCTTTTTAGCATTCTGCAGAAAGCCGCAGAACGCAACTCCATGATGGGATGCTCCATCGAGGCAGATCCCAACGTGCTGGAAGCCGAAACGTCACAGGGATTGATTCGTGGACATGCCTACTCCATTACCAAGGTTTTATAGTTGACTTTGTGTGGGGAATATAATGTACAATTTTTATATGTACAGGTGTGCCTCATTGATATTGTGACACCGAATCGGCAGGGAAAGATCCCAATGATTCGAATGCGAAATCCGTGGGGAAATGAGGCAGAGTGGAATGGTCCATGGAGCGACAGCTCGCCCGAGTGGAGATATATACCTGAGGAGCAGAAACAGGAAATTGGCCTAACATTCGATAGAGACGGAGAATTTTGGATGTCGTTCCAAGATTTTCTAACCCATTTTGATCGCGTTGAACTTTGCAATTTGTCGCCGGAATCTTTCATTAAAAACTCTGAGGATAATCAGCAGAGCGGAAAACGTAAATGGGAGATGTCAATGTACGAGGGGGAATGGACTCCCGGCGTTACCGCAGGCGGTTGTCGCAACTTCTTGGACACATTTTGGCACAATCCGCAGTACATAATATCCCTGGCTGACCCCGACGAAGCGGATGAGGAGGGCAACTGCACAGTTATTGTTGCCTTAATGCAGAAAAACCGTAGATCCAAGCGTAACATGGGAATGGAGTGCCTTACAATTGGTTTCGCTATTTACAGCCTAACCGAACGTGATCTGGCAACCCGTCCGCAAGGACTCAATTTCTTTAAGTACAAGTCCTCAGTTGGACGATCGCCACACTTTATCAACACTCGGGAGGTATGTTAGTCCCATTCCTTTTAACTTAACCGCATTAAATTGTTCTTTTTTTCCTTATAGGTATGCGCTCGATTCAACCTACCTCCGGGTCACTATCTGATTGTGCCTTCGACTTTTGATCCAAATGAGGAAGGCGAATTCATCATTCGAGTCTTCTCTGAAACTCAAAATAATATGGAGTGCGTATACAATGCAAATGCAGAAGAGTTTGTATATTAGATGTAATTCAGCAGCAGATTTAATTTTCTATTCAGTCCTTAATACGAAATGCATTCTGCAAGGGGTGGGTATATATGACTACAAATCTTGTCTCTATATGCATGTTTGATCTGTAATGTGTACAATTGTCGGGCAAAATTGTAGTACTAATAAAATGTTAGAAATCGCGTTGAGGGGCTAGAATACATTTTGCTTGGTAATATTTGCAGCTCAAACAAATTATTGTGGCTATTAATTTACACTTAACAAAATATAACCTTCAATATTTGCTTGTATTACTAACTACACGAATAATCAATGCTCAAAATAAAATACGTATTATTGCTGCTTAATTTAGAAATTTGTCAATTTAGAGCTAGGTTTACTTAGATTTTATTTACTAATATGTCTATTATTAAATACAGTTTGCAATATCTTTCCGTCCAACCGTATTTCTGATAGATTTAGGCCCCTAGAAAGAAAATTGTTAAAGGTTTTTCATAGGCAAGGATTTTTTTTAATTTCAAATTTCAAAAGGTTTGGTTTTTTACCGTAACTTTCGTAAACCTATTTTATAAAAAGCTTGAGAAATAATATTTTATCTATTAGCTTCTTGTGCAATTCTTTTATGTATAACCTAATTACAAATGTAAGATTGTTAAAATAAATACATTGTACAAAATAATTAGATGTTTTTTTTTTTTAAATTCGTTAAAACACAATTTTCATTTACATCGCCAAACTAATAATTTAAAATTAGAATATTTGATACATTTATTTAGTTTTTTGAACCTTGAAAGCCTTCATAATGTATAATAATATAGCATAAATTTTACATAAATTTGGAAATTCATTTTTCTCGCATACTCATCAGTCAAATAATTTTCCACTTTAATATAGAGAGAATGATGATCACGTTGGGTATGGAGACAACTCGGATAAGGTAAGTCAATGTTCACAAAATAGTTATTTATTTTACTAAATTTTTGGTTTGTTCTCAAGGTCATACCAGGTTTTCCGACACCGAAGCCCGTAGATCCACAAAAAGACAGCTTAAAGCGATTATTTGACAGCATTGCCGGCAAGGACATGGAAGTAGATTGGATGGAGCTGAAACTAATCTTGGACCACTCAATGCGGGATGGTGAGTTGACAGCACAAACAGCACAAATATATTTCTTAACATTTACGAAATATCTTGTTTCACTATCATTATTTTAGATCTACCAAAGCCTGTTATGTTTAACCGACTTCAAAATAACAATGCATTCGAAACTCAGGCAGAGACTGGAGGGGATTCTGGCAATGCTTGTGGAATACTGTCCTTGATATGTGGACCATTCCTTAAAGGTACTCCCTTCGAAGAACATTTGGGCATGAATGATCAGTCCAACAAAAGGCTGATAGATGAGGGTCCAGCAGGTATGAGAGTTACAACTATATTATTAGTTAATTTATATGCTGTTAACAATAATAATTGTACCCATTAAATGCTCTAAAATTGTTATCTTAATATCTAATTTATATTTATTATATTTTATAGCTATTGTCGACGAGACTCATGGCTTTTCCAAAGATGTTTGCCGTTCTATGGTGGCAATGTTAGATGCAGATAAATCGGGAAAACTGGGCTTTGAAGAGTTTGAAGCATTGCTTACAGACATCGCAAAGTGGAAAGCTATTTTTAAGACATACGATACCGAAAATTCGGGTAGAATATCAGGATTCCAGCTGCGTGAAGCTCTGAACTCGGCAGGTTACCATTTAAACAATCATGTTCTTAATGCCTTGGGGCATCGATATGGTTCGAGAGACGGAAAAATCGCCTTCGATGATTTTCTCATGTGTGCCGTGAAAATTAAAACATATATTGGTAAATTTAAGGAGTTAAAATTTGGTAACAAGCTTCTAACATATTTGCATTGCAGAAATATTTAAAGAAAGAGACGCCGAGAAAAACGAAACCGCGACATTTACTTTGGAGGAGTGGATTGAACGGACAATATATTCTTAAATGCACAGCTGCTATTAGATTTATTATGATAATATATAAGTGCACGCATACTCATTATTGTGTAAAAAATTTGGTTGTTTTATAGTGGTTTTTTTTCGTGTACATTTAAATATAAAGTGCACAGCTTTATGTCAGTTAAAAAAAATTCAATTATTTGCATTGAAAGCTTTTTACATATATTATATTTACCTATATAAACGTTAAACAATTTTGATTACATTTTCAAATGTATACCTATAAAAAGATATGCTTACTTTTTTAAAACAATTTTTATAAAATTTTTAAATTAAAAAAACCCAGTTTGACTTGTTATAATGTATCAAGGAGATTATTGCTAGTCAATTCATTTCTTATACCCTGACAAAGAGTTTTATGGCTTTATGTAAATTTGTAACAGGCTGAAGACAGAGCCTACATCAGCTGGAATCTTAAACTTCAACGTCCAGATGATGCATTCGCCGTCGTAGCAGTAAGCGATCGCAATCGTGTTCTTCCTTATTTGGTGCGGAATCAGTCTGGGTGCAGCATTCCAATATCATGCCATGCCTCATCAGTCTGTGCATTTGGCTGCAGATGCGAGTCTAGCTGCAGCTCTAGATCCACCATTGATCGCATGACCACAAGTGATGATTGGCCTGCATGTGAAGCACCTCCGATTGCAATCCAACCAAGGCGAGTTTTTTGCAACATCGGCAGTCCAGCAGCTAGTTTAATCGACCCAGATTCGAGCAGCGCACGTGAGGCTACCAAGGAGCCAGCCCAATTTTTAACATTGTTGACCGCGGTGGCAAATAGATACAAATCGTGCATTAGATGCTGGACGGTGAGGGGGCGTCGAAGATTAAGTTTCCGCCAAGGGGATTTGGGATGAGAAAAAGTTTGCGATTGTAGCAGTGAACAATATGTGTGCTTGGTCTTACAAGACCCAACAGACTATGATGCCTCTTTGCAAGCGAGAAAGACTCTTGGCTTAGTAAAGGCTCAGCGAGGGCTATAAATTTGTAAAAAGAATTGCCTGCGACTACACAAATTCAAAAGGATATCCTCCAAACGAATGTTTTACGTATTTATTTATTCATTTTTCAATTACAGAAACACGTTTTACTTCTTAAAGTATTTTGACTACTTGACGATTTAATAATGCATTTCATTGCGGCCGGCCGACGTTGAGTGTTCGTCATTTTGTATGAACTTGCAATATATATGTATGTATGAGTTCTTGAGATGAATTTCGCATTTGTGAAAAAAACACCTGCATAATTACATACTTATTTTGGTTTGTTATATACACAGAATGTTAGCATATACTATCTTAAGAACAAATAGGATAGAACCTTTTTTTGATTTATGCGTGGCCATGTAAGGTGGATGTATTACAATACATGTGCTCGCCCGGATTATTTAATGTGTCTTCAATTATTTTTAACGGCTCATTTGAATTTCCTGTTGTCTCATGGCTAATATCATTTCCTCTATGTAGGGTGCCTTTAGTTTTTCCTTCACCAACGATACCACTGCAACTAGCAGATTGTAAATTTTGCATATTAAAGCCTTGGTGCATGTTTTCATTGTCGTATAGACTAATGTCAGCAATACACTTTGCAATCGGTTCAGCAGCAATAGAAAGAGGTGATGCGGCTGAGCCATTATCGGGAGGCGATTGGGCGGATTCACAGTTTAACGAACTACTTGATTCTTTTCTGGCAAGCTTGTTTGTGTTTGTCATTGAAATAGTTTGATATCTATTCCTTATTGAATCAACTACATCGAAAAGATTCTTCGCATCCATGGCCAAGATGTGTGCAGCCGACAGCATACTCCTTCAAGAAAGGAAAATGGGAATATATACAAATTCAATTCTTAATAATATTATATAATTACTTTCGATATTCGTTATCCAGAGTAGTATCATTGTATTGATGTGCTAACCGCATTGCTGACACTAAATCATGCATATCTTTGGAAAGAACTTTGTGCGCCATCTCTACCTCTCTGCAAAAGAAAAAAAAAAAAAACGTTAAAAAACTTAATTCAGCTCTGAACAAGCAGAATATATTACTTCAAGGCTTGGGCCGGAAATAGTATTGATATATTATCAACTGATTTGAGAAGGTTCCTTAGCTCGACCCCGACATTTTTGACCAAATGCAAGTAACCATCAATGTGCGCCTTTTCAACGCCTTGAGAAAGTACCATTATTGACTTTACAACTGCGGTTGTAGCACAGTACACCTCATCGTTTGTTCGATTTATTGGTCGAGTAGAATCTTGATTTTCGCTATTTCTAGACTTTAAGCTTTCTTCTGCTGCCAAAGATACCGTGTGATCCGATGGCGAGTTATTAAGCTTAAGTGAAAATACATTTGCGCTGGGTATTTTTGGCCTTGTCTTCGAATTCGAACAATCAGGAAAGCCTATTGTGCCTTCTGAAATCAAATCAGGTTTAAAATTCTGATGTTTTATCAAAACCTCGGTTTCAACTTCACCTGGTATTGGACTGGATCTCTTTCTCTGCAAAATCATAGAGTTAAACGAATAGTTTAATAGTTATTTGTTTTATACTTACGACCAGTTCTTCCTGATACAGCCATTCACCATCGCTATTGCTGTCCTTGCGTTGTTGCCACAATTGTTCACCAATTGGTTTGGGAATGGTCTGTAAATTATTATTGTACTTTACTCTCTTTGAATCAATTATTTGCATTCAAAATAACTTAAAAATAACCGATTAGAAAATATAACCAAAAAACTGAAAAGAAAAAAGACGTCTTGCTCATGTGTCAGCATAAAACCTTCGTCCAATCAAACCTGATTTCCCACATCTGAATTTATTTGAATACAAGCTGCTCCTTCCAAATTATCGTTCTTAGGATCAACCGTAGCTGTTCTTAGCGTAGCAACCGTTGTCCACTGCGGCTCCCACTCTCGTGGAATTTCTTGTAAGTCGTTTAATGAAGTTTTAGTGCATAAGCCGCTTTGCTTTCCGCCGAAGCTCTGAGGGCATTTGTATTCTTGCCCGATTATATTCGAATTTATTGCGGATGCATTAAATAATGAGACCGAATGGGCGTTTTCTTTCACAGACACACAGGTTTTTAGGCCAACCCCGCCAAAGTCGTAGATTTCTTCGGGCAGAGACTCGCATTCGGTTGATGTTTTCATTTGTTGACGATATGCATGGCACTGACTCTTGCGTTCCATGCCCCTGGAACGCTCTGAAAAACTCGTGCCTTGTTTGTGAAAAATCATGTTTTGCGCTGCCATTAACGATTGATGACGCTCCAGACTTCCACCCTTTGAGTGCATCGGCTTATCCATCTGTGGTTGGTGCCGTTCGAGACTGCCATAAAGACTATAACCTGCGACCCTAGCCGTTGGGTTGCCAGATTTGCTGTCCATCTGCACTTGATTCATGTGGAAATCATCCGTGTTTGGTGCACTTAGTATAAAGTTATTTTTCAGTGGCAAATTCTCTGACACATATCCTGATACCGGCTGAGGCCTAATATTCATAGGGTGTAAATATGCTGGTATAAAGGTCGAGTCAAAAGAACTAATTACAGGTGATGAAGATGGATAAAGATTTTGAGAAGAGGTGCTGGTTATTGGAAATTGATTTTGAAGTTTATCTGAATCAGCGACAGGATCGAGTTTTAGGAGCTCCGCTGCGGGGAGCTTAGTAGTTTTAAGCGAATGATTCGATTTACTGGAATCTATTCCTACGGCTAAAGTATTAAATACCGAAGCGGGTGTGGTGTAGGCTGCAGGATTTATGCCTCGCTTTTGATTCTCCATCATTAATCTGGCGAGCACAGCCGGATTTTGGGCAATAATATAGGTCTGGGGTAGAGTCCTGTTTTCCTCTGACGTATTCAATATGCTTGGAATATCTAAAATCAAGTATAGATATAAGCATATAATCCAATTGCAAGATCTGTCTATGAATATTACCAGTGTCATTTACTGTTCGGGATGGCTTTAATGGAGGAATGTCGCTGTCTTCAGTGCCAATCCAAGATACACCTGCAAGTCGACGGTGCTCCCTTCTCATTGTCTCAGATGAGTTCATACTGTCTTCTAATAAAATTTCACTAAAAATATATATATTTTAGAAGACATTATCCCAACAAACTATTGGTAACAAATCTACAAACATACTAAAGGGTTTCCTTTATCCGTTTAAAATTCGGCCTTTTCAGCGGTTCGTAAGCCCAGCACTGAGACATAAGTGAGTATAGTCTGGGCGGACAGTTCGGTGGCAATGGCAATCTCTCCCCATTTTCCAGCTTTGTGATGACGTCACTATTTTTCACGCCTTGAAATGGTTTAACACCTAGCATAAGTATCTCCCAAATGCAAACACCTATTCGCAGAGATCATATAAATGTAAATGAGTACTTATTTTTTTTTTTGTTTTTTTCTCTTTCACCAACCAAACATCCACACATCACTAGCTGTAGTGAATCTTCGAAAATTGATTGACTCGGGGGACATCCATTTAATGGGCAGTGCAACTGAAATCTCATTGTTTTATAATATATTCAACAGATAATTATAACTATTTTTCTAACCTGTGGGAGTTGAGTGATAATAGGACTGGTCAGAAACCCAGCGCGACAATCCAAAATCAGCCAGCTGAAATTGGTAAAGAGATAAGCGCAAATTCTTTACTCCATCTATAATTGTTTCGCACCTTCACACAAGTTGGTGTGCTCACAAGAACGTTTCGCGCCGCAATATCTCTGTGAACGAATTTCTTAGATTCTAAATAGCTGAGCGCTGTTGACAGTTGGTAGCAATATTTAAGCAAAGTTCCGTGACTTAATCTGGGAATGAAACGATTCATAAACATATACGTGGTATAAACAATCAGAAGCATACCTCTCACTGTTGGCTTTTAAGTACGCGCGCAATTCACCGAGCTTAGCTAATTCCATTACTATCCAAATGGGCGTTAAACTGCAAATACCAATCAACCGGATAATATGTGGATGATCGAACTTCTGCATTATATCTGAAATGAATAACAAGACAAATCAGCAAAGCTGTATAACAGTATCAGGAATTCAGCTTAAGGTATGGATCGTGATAAATATAAAACCATATTATTGGTTTACCCTTTTCACAAATTGCATTAAGTCTGAGCATTAAATATATATTCCGCAACAGCGGACTCAATATTATTAGTATTAATTTAACTTACATGCTTCGGCAAGAAAATTTTCTGTCTTTTCTGGATTCTCGTTTGTTTTACATGTCTTAACGGCTACTTGCATTACATCATATTTGGCATCGATATTATTTGAAGAACTCTCGTTCCTTTTATTTTTCGGTTTAGCTGATATTGGAACCGTATATGTTCCAACATAAACATCTCCAAACTGACCGACCCCAATTTTCGCACTTAGAACTATTTGAGATCGATCAAGCTCGTAATTGCGCACTAAACAAGAAAATAAGGGCTTTAAAACGATAAAAAAAATTATTAAATGTTAGCTTACCTGTGGGTGTAGAGTAATCACCCTCCCCTTCTAATAATCCGATTTCAGCATAATCATCCGTAAGCATAGGCTTACTTTTAGTCGGAGACGACGAAGTTCGATCATCTGGCAAAGCGTTAGATGCATTTGGTGAGATTTTTACATTTCCTCCTAAGTCTGTTTCCCGTTCCCAAACTGTAAATCCTAGATCTTTCGTTAGTAGCCTGCAATAACCATCAATCAGATCGGCAATACTTTCAGCGGTCTGAAAATTATACATAATTATCATTAATCATATGAATTGAAAATTTAAAAATTGTAAAGCTTACATTTACTCCATTGCATGTTATAATCAAATCTTCCGTAATATTAGATGCAGAAATTTTGATTTGAGTTTTAATTTTTCGGCAATTGCATTTTAAATTTTGTAACTCAAGTTCATTGGATGCTTTTTCTTTTGGAAGAGCGCAGGTTTTAATAGAAACGACATCTTTAAACTGTGCTACATTCCTTAAACTTGCTTGTGGGTGTGTCTGGTAAGAGATTCCTAAAAAAAATAAATAAAATAAAATGGGATATACAAAAAAAAATTGGAGCATTGAAAACTCTTACCAATATGCGGACCAACATGCAGGATTCCTGATATATTCCAAGCAGAGCTCAAGGTTACAGAAAATTGTTCGAAATCGGTTAAATAAAAGCTTTTGAGAAGATCGAAAAACCTGTATAAATGTTTTTAAAATATTTTTGAGTTAAGCATTTCTCTACCAAAGTTTAGCACAAGAATACATACTTTGTCAAGTACTCAATGTCATTGTAATTGTAGACCTTCTTGTATCCGACCTGTATCATTTTCTTCAGATTCTTTGGCTTTGTTGTGCTTATCACAGATTGAGGAATAAAACATTTAAACCCAATTTCCTTCTCAATGTAATCGATGTGTTGCTTCTTATCTGGAGCTTTCAACGTTATGTTTTTGAAGTAATGGCGTATACCCAAACAGCATAGTTGAACTGCTACATCAGCGTCAACGGAAGTTATATTTGATTGAATATAATCGTCCTTTACCTGAAACCGCACACATTCAGGGTTAAATGTTATCGGAAAATATTTAACAGCAGTATTACCTGATCAAAAAAATAAAAGCAAGTAGTTTTGTCTTCGTCGAATAAGTCTTGAATTTTATGGGGGACATATCGCACGCGCAACTCCACACGCCAGACACCTGTGATAACGGATCGCCGCCCAAGATGCGTGTCTTTGCCTTCTGCAAGATCTGCTTTTATTGGGTCGTTGTTTGGACAATCTACATTTGAGCACCCGGGTGATAGTATGTGCGACAAGACCTTGTCCATTGATGTTGTCCTAGCTAACCATAGTACCTGTTAAATATTTTTTGGTTTATTATAATCATAGTAGTTTAGTATTTGGAGCACATACTTCTTTGGTTATGACATTCAACATTCGACATGCATATCGCTGAATGCTCGGCGGCGGTTGTCCGTCCTTGCCAAACTCTTCAACTGTTTTCCGGATAATGTGGAATACCGTTTCAGTTTTATGAAAGGCTATTGATTTGAAACTCTTGTTTGGCATGTGCACATGAAGAACATAATCTTCATATTGGGCTAATAAAACAAAAAAGGCATTAATAAACCAATGGGGTTTGCAACTTTGTATGTACTTACATCCATTGTTCCTGTGCGGCTGATCGCTTTGGTTGACTTCTGCGGTGTTCATGTTCCAAATTTACCGCTCTGTAGGCGATTTTTACAAAAAATTCACCACCTATAAAAGTATGCAACCCAGTTTATTTACATATATTCAATCACAGGTATTTTCTAAAAATAATGTTATTGTATTATAATAAAGTGGTTGGTTTTATTTCATCATGAATTAAGCTCCAACCATATCTTTAGCTAGAATTTCAGTCTGTCTTTAACACTGAGATTGATTGATCCAAAAGTCGAATCTATGGAAAATATGTGCGTATGTTCGTATATTCATTTCTATGAGCACACATACACATATATAAAACTCTAATATGCACATACACTCGCTTATAAATGCTTTCGCCTCAGTTGTTAAATGAATCTTTTGTGTTCAGCAGATAATTGCCAACTCAAAAAAACAATTTCTTATAAACTCTTTAACCAGAACTATTTAGTTATTTAATAATTGTAAAATTTGAAAACAGTAATTACTTCCCCTCACACGTTCTTCTTCTTTCTTTAATGTTTCTATTCATAGGAGTGTCAATCTGTTTTACATGGTACTGGCTTGCCATTCACACAAAATGGGAAGGTGAAGACAACAGTGGCGTCACAAATCATGTTGCTAGTATAGGGTAAAGTATACCTATTTGTATGCATTTATTTGCATTTGTGTAAATATATATAAAAATAAACATAAACATAGCTTAAGCTCAGTTGTTTACAAATTTAGTTGCTTACTGAGTATAGAAATATATCGCTTATTCCTCAAATCGCATCTTGTGATCCTCCGCTTCTCTGGCCCACAAAAACTATTCATGCTGTAACTTAAGTCTCCCTCTCCACTATAATTTAAAATATTATCGGTTCACCTGTCCGATTAATTCTTTGGCACTGTTTCTCAGTTTTACTTTCTATTCTAATAAAACAACTGAAACTGTTTTATCCTTTCCTGTACAACTGTTGCCAAATTTTCAAAAGTAAAATATACCGAAATATACCATATTTCGATTGAATAATCGACTACTTATCGTGTCTTATTGCATATCTAGTGTAGCATATCCTAGTATTGCATATCCGTAGTCGAAAAGAAATTGTTTGGAGGTAAAGTTATGTAGTATATATATTTGTGAGGCTTAGATTAATTATGTTCATGCATATTTTGTGAAGTTAAGGTAAATTTGAAAATAAATATGCTTCTTCCAACAACTAACATTAAGAAATAAACATATCGATGAATTATTTTTTTTCAGCCTGTTGTTCATTAATCGATAAGTCGCATAATGACAACGTTTTCAGTATCATATTTTACTGTGTCCATAACTAAGCGTCAATTAAAGAGCAAACCCATTGAATTTTCCTAAAACAATTACATGCATCTTTGTATGTGCAAATGTATGGCTTATATTTATGAGCTATTTGCTTGAATAATTATATGTGAGTATATTTAACAGCAAACCTTTGAATTTATTTTGCAACTGTACTAATAGAAAACGTGTGGATTTTTTTTACACGTCCACAGTACATAAAATGTCGGACTCTGAAGTCAGCAATATGTCGGATAGTGGCTCTGACGATGGATCTATATCGAACAAGTCGCAACAAAGTGTTAGATCCAAATCTGGCTTTCGCTCAAGGTCAAGGTCGATGTCCAGATCCAGGTCCAGGTCCAGGTCGAGATCTTCTCGTTCGCGTTCTCAATCAGCCCATTCTGGCTCAGGATCCGATTCTCCGCAACCTCAAGGTGGACGTGGACACCGTCGCAAAACAGAAGATTCTGAAGATGAAGACCCGCAAGGGGAGGATATAGATTCCGAAGAGTACGAAGAGGAAGAAAACGAAGATGACCATCCAAGGAAAAAAAAGAAAAAGGAGCGCTTTGGTGGCTTTATTATTGACGAAGCTGAAGTCGATGACGAGGTAGAATATATAATATAAGCACTCGTTAAATTGTTTAATAGTTTACATACCAAATTGTTTGCATATAAAGGTTGATGAAGACGACGAGTGGGAGGAGGGTGCCAACGAAATTGGTATCGTTGGCAATGAAATAGATGAGCTGGGTCCCACCGCCAGAGATATTGAAATACGACGAAGAGGAACCAATTTATGGGAGTAAGTTGCTATCTTAAAATTTCATTCAGTTACCAAATATTAAATTGAACAATTAATTGGTATAGTACTCAAAAAGAAGACGAAATTGAGGAGTATCTAAGAAAAAAATATGCTGACGAATCGATGGTAAGACGACACTTTGGCGACGGCGGCGAGGAAATGTCCGATGAAATCACTCAACAAACTCTTTTGCCAGGGATCAAGTAAGTCAATGTTATGCTACCAACTGTTAATTTTATACTAATTTATGTACTTAAACAAATTATTCAACTAGAGATCCCAATTTGTGGATGGTGAAATGTCGCATTGGAGAAGAGAAAGCGACAGCATTACTCTTGATGAGGAAGTTCCTAACTTATCTCAATACAGATGATCCATTACAAATCAAATCAATTATCGCACCAGAAGGTGTCAAAGGGTATATTTATTTGGAAGCTTACAAACAAACTCATGTAAAGACAGCTATCGACAATGTGGGAAATCTACGTATGGGCAAATGGAAACAAGAAATGGTTCCAATTAAGGAAATGACTGATGTGCTTAAAGTAGTTAAAGAGCAAGTCGGACTTAAGGTAAAACAGTGGGTGCGTTTAAAGCGTGGCTTGTACAAGGATGACATTGCGCAAGTAGATTATGTAGATCTGGCACAAAACCAGGTGCATCTTAAGCTTCTTCCTCGTATCGATTACACTCGAATGCGCGGTGCATTACGTACCACGGCGACGGTAAGACAAACATAACAGTAAGTTTTTATCGGTGTATTAAGAATATTGATTTCAGGAAAGTGATGATGGGAAGCGTAAAAAGAAACGCAGGCCACCGGCAAAACCATTTGATCCAGAAGCTGTTAGGTGAGTGACATATTTATAAGCCATTTCTAATATCCTACAATAACAAAAATCAAATATCTTAATCCCAACTTTTTTCAGGGCCATTGGAGGGGAAGTTCACTCAGATGGAGATTTTTTGCTCTTTGAAGGAAATCGCTATTCGCGAAAGGGATTTCTATATAAAAATTTTACTATGTCAGCCATTTTGTCCGAGGGCGTAAAGCCCACTCTGGCGGAACTTGAGCGATTTGAGGAAGCACCGGAGGGTAAGTTAACAAATCTTTTGGAAACAATTTCATCTAAAAATGGCATTCACTCTTATAGAAGTTAACCTAGAAATAATGGCTAGCGTTAAAGATGATCCCACGGCTACCCATTCATTTTCAATGGGCGACAATGTCGAAGTTTGTGTAGGTGATCTGGAAAACTTACAAGCAAAGATTGTTGCTATTGACGGCACAATGATTACGGTTATGCCCAAACATCAGGACTTAAAGGTAGCGTCCTTGATCATTTGAATCTAATAATTAAAAGTTTATTAATTATGTTTTTTACATTTAGGATCCTCTTATATTCAAAGCTAGCGAGTTACGCAAATACTTTAAGACGGGTGATCATGCGAGAGTGTTGGCGGGCCGCTACGAAGGTGAAACAGGTCTAATAATTCGCGTAGAGCCATCGCGGGTTGTGCTTGTCTCAGATTTGACCAATCATGAACTTGAGGTCTTGCCCCGAGACTTGCAACTCTGCTCTGATGTAGCTACCGGAGTTGACTGTCTTGGTCAATTCCAATGGGGAGATCTGGTCCAGCTTGAGTAAGTAGTCTTAAAGTTCCATTCAAATATTTTATTTTATTCAACCAAATGTGTCTTGCTTTGCAGCTCACAAAACGTTGGCGTAATTGTGCGCTTGGAGCGTGAGAACTTCCACGTCTTGGGAATGAATGGAAAATGTATTGAGTGCAAGCCAACAGCCTTGCACAAACGGCGAGAAAATCAGAATACTGTCGCTCTGGATGCAGATCAAAATCAGATTCGCCGCCGCGATATTGTGAAAGTTATGGAGGGTCCACATGCCGTAAGCAAAAAGTCCGCACACTTATCAATACATTTTTACATGTTTTCGCTACTCTTATATAATAGGGACGCTCTGGAGAAATAAAGCACTTATATCGCAGCTTGGCATTTCTCCACTGTCGTATGTACACGGAAAACGGCGGCATTTTCGTATGCAAGACGCGTCACTTACAACTCGCTGGTGGAAGTAAAACGAATGTAAGCAATGCTAATACGCTTGGCGGATTAGGATTTATGTCGCCTCGGATCCAATCGCCAATGCATCCGTCTGGTGGTCGTGGCGCACGTGGAGGATCGCGCGGTGGTCGCGGAGGCTTCCGTGTTACGCGTGACCGTGAACTTTTAGGAAAAACCATAAAAATTTGTGGTGGACCCTACAAAGGTATTATTATCATATAAAATTTATATTCCTGATTCTTTGATATTTTATTTATGATCGTGTTAAATTTAGGTGCCGTTGGCATCGTAAAAGATGCAACTGAGAGCACAGCTCGTGTGGAATTGCATACATCATGCCAAACAATTTCAGTGGATCGTAACCATATTGTTATTGTCGGCGAGCCTGGTAAGGAAGGCAGTGTTTCCACTTATGGTCGCACACCAGCACGTACACCGGGTTACGGAGCGCAGACTCCCAGCTACACCGCTGCCGGTTCCAAAACTCCATTGGTTGGAAGTCAGACACCAAATTGGGACACTGATACACGGACACCTTATGGTACAATGACGCCGTCTCACGATGGCAGTATGACCCCACGTCATGGCGCATGGGACCCAACTGCAAATACGACCCCGGCTCGTAATACAGATTTCGATTATTCGCTTGAGGAACCAAGCCCCAGCCCAGGATATAATCCAAGTAGTGTACCTTTCCTTATATATTGTGTATTAAATTTAATTTATCTGAATCTTAGGCACTCCTGGCTACCAAATGTCGTCACAATTTGCTCCACAAACTCCGGGTACTCTTTACGGCTCGGATAGAAGCTACAGTCCATTTAATCCGAGTCCAAGTCCTGCACCTTCCCCATACCCAGTTGGTTATATGAATACACCATCGCCATCAACCTATTCACCGAACACTCCCGGTGGTGTACCACAATCTCCTTACAATCCGCAAACGCCTGGAGCTAGCCTCGACTCTTCGATGGGCGATTGGTGTACCACGGACATTGAAGTTCGGATTCATACGCACGATGATACTGATCTCGTTGGCCAGACCGGTATTATCCGTACAGTATCAAATGGTGTCTGTTCTGTATTTCTGCGTCAGGAAGATCGTAGCGTGTCCATTGTTAGCGAGCACCTGGCTCCTGTTCCACCCAATAGTGGAGATGAATTCAAAGTTATATATGGAGAAGAAAGAGAGTCTGTTGGCAAAGTGTTGTCCAAACAGGAGGGTGATGTTCTTGTCTGTAAGATAAATGACGAAGTAAAAATGATACCTGTAAATCATTTATGTAAGATGAAGTCCATTGACTAGATTGCATGAACCCATATTGTCTTGCGAAAAAAGGCAGCCCCGTTCTTTTGTATAATGTCTCAAAAGATATATAATAAAATAATTCAAATGCCAATCTCTTAATAAATAACGATACCTTATATTTCTTCTTATAAGAATCTTACATCTTTGATTCTTATACACTTGTATACCTTATTATAATCAAACAATCGGCCGAAAGGATATTTTGTCTTCGGCAAGCCGAGAATACAAAAGTTTTCATACATTTTATGAACATTTTTGTACAATGAAAAATCCATCCCTCGCTCTTGGAAATGCGTGTGAATTTCTAAGAATCTGTATTTAAGACGTATTTTACCCTTTTGCAAAATTCAAGCTTCCTTATTGGAAATTATGGACCAAAGATTTTTTAGGGGGAAGCTTTAAGTTTCGTCCGATCGGCGGTCTATGGCCCGCGATAAACCCGATATTGAAATCCTGCATTTTGAGCATATATCGTAAGTTTTAAGAGCTGGAGTCACTAAATTTGACATGTCTCTCCATCTTGCATAACCAAATAAATAAAAATACCAATTAAAACTACAGCCACAATTTAAAGGCTGTTGCCTTTTTGCGAATATAGCAATATTCAAAGGCAGACCTTTTCATCAAGGTCGGTTAAAAAAACACAATTTATTAAGGAAAATGTTTGGTCATATTTTCAAACAGTTACGATTAAACGCAGGCATTTTCTGTATGTATGTATATGCATATGTATGAGTGCATTCTCCTTTAAATTTTGCATCGTTTTATTTTATTAACAAACATAAATACTTATTCATTTTCAAATTGATTAATGCAATTGATATTCGTTTTTAATTATATCCTTAAAATGGATAAAAATTGTATAGTAGGTCTTCTTAATGAATCATAAATATTGATTTTCCAACACCGCTTTAACGCCCTTTCTTATCAGAATTTATCGATTGCGAGACAAGCTATCGATGATTTGAAACAAACTTGTACTACGCGGACATTAGGAGGTCCTTTCTACGCCTCTAGCTCTTATAGGTTCTGAGAATCATATAGCTGCCATAGGAACGATCGGTCGAAAATGAGCATTTTTAAAAGGTTCGATGCAAGGGTATTAAATCTTCGGTGTGCAGTAGATAGCCCTTCTGTATCGTTTTTAATTGTTTGCAGTTTATAAAAATCAACAGCAAGCAGGTCGCAATCTACGATGAAGACCATTATATTTTTTCTGTGTATATCTAGTTTTATGTAAGCAATATGATATTTATATATATAGTTCAATAATTTCAACCATATATTATATTGTTTAAAAATATTATATATGAATGACGTTAAGCGTCATGCATAGCGTAACCTTTGCATTGTTAAATATTTTTAAATGGTATTTTTTCGATTACACAGTTTGGTCACATTGCATTTCAACGTTATATTATACCAGCGATTACCCAGATGAGCTCAGACAGTATTCGTCAAGTGAAGCGGGCAGAAGTGTGTTTGTGAATACAAGCAGGAAATAAATTTAAGCTAAAAGTCTACAAGTTTATATATACATACATAAATATGAGGGAAATTGTACACATTCAAGCTGGTCAGTGCGGTAACCAAATTGGAGCCAAGGTATGTATTGAGTTCTTTAATGTTGCCTTAATTGATTTAAAAATAAGAATGAAGTACAGTTACTAGTCAATATGGCGTCATTTTTGCGCTGCCATGTGGCAAAATTATTGAGGCCACCGGCATCAGCGCATAAGTTTGTATAGTACATATTTATTTACGTATGCATGTATGAATATACATGTATGTATATGTACACTTACCGGCTCATGCAGTTTTCTCTGTTTGTGTGTAGAGGCATACATACATATGCAGAATATAGAATTAGATCTTTATAAATTTAGGGTGTGTCCAAATATTGCATATATTTTGAGTTTGTAACTTTGAACGTATTTTTCATTCTCGTAAATGTCTATAATGACGTATATTTACATACTGATGAGTCATAATTGCTTTAAAGCTCTAGTTTATTTTAATGAGAAAGTTGCTTTTCTTAATACATACACACATGAATATGCATGTAGGAAAACGTACATGTATGTATGTTTGTAATTGGTGAAAGGTACATATATTTTTAGTCGATCAATTAGATGTTACATACATATAAAATAGGCATATGTTCCCGTTTACTTTTCTAGTACGGTTTTGTTAAGGTTTGTCTTTCCGGAGTTTGGTAAAGGGAAAACATGACGTCATTTTACTTAAAATGGCTGAACCGGTTGTCGACCGGTTCGCAATGACATAAAATATATACATATATACGTATACCTACTGTATGCTCATACGTATAAATGTACGTACGTTCACATCTGTAGAGGCGTCGTTTGTATGTATTGGATGCATGTTTGTATTTGCGGTTGTATAAATGGAGTTCTGTATTCAGTATTTTATTGGGGAACATATACTCGTACATATGTATGTATGTATTACTGAATTTAAAGAAACATTCTTAAGAGTTCGCACACACTTGTGTGTATATATATTTGTTAACCACTTAAAACATACAAATAACTAATTATGTGTCTGCAATGAGTTCAAGTTGCATTCCACAAGCCCGTAATCGTACGGTAATGCACAAAATTAAAAAGGCCAATATACATTATGTACGTATATATGCATTCATATACATACATACATATGACACACCCAAAGGCTGTGTTGCCACTTTTCATGCACATGCGCGTACGATAGCTTGCCGGTAATTTCATTGCAAACTGGCTGCGTCATCGACATCCTTTCGGCAAATCAATAGAGCCATTCTAGTCCTCGTAAAAATATATATGCACTTATGTATATACACAAAACTACCCCCGTATGTATAGCAGCTGCTTTGCATTTTTTCTTTCGGTATTTAGCATGTATATATGTGTGTGTACATATTATGTATTTGTGTTGGTGTAGGCACATTTAAGTTGCTATGATATTTTTTGAGGGTAATTTCTGTGACTTTCGAGAACGTATCCCCTTATGTTGTAGTACCTCTTACGTGTTTTTTTTTTTAGCTATATAGATTTTTTTGTTTACCCGAAATAAACAAACTAAATACTAAGCTCTACAATGACGTAATACGTTCCAAAAGTACATATCAAACGCCATATGGTTAACAGACAAATTGACTTGATGCACTACAGCTTGGCCTCGGCTTACGCCAGCCGCTTTTTTCTCTTGTGTGGGTAGATATTGCTGTTGATGATGATGTAAGCTTGTGAGCATATGTATGTATATGTGGCTGACAAATGTAAGGTAGGTGGTGCCTACTGATTATGACAATTGCTGCTTGAGCTGTGCGTGGGGAGTACAGAGGCTTAAAGCCAGCCTACATATTCGGAAAGCCGCGACATTTAGGGTGGACAGCTGGCGTTATGATCGACCCACGCAAGTGTTGTAGCTATGATGACGATGTTTCCGCTGTATCATTAAGTCTACCAAAAACAACCAAGAGACAGACCATAAATAGTTATTTATTGACTTCGTCTGTATAATACTTTCTTTTATGGGTACCCGTTCATTGACCATCTGTTCAGACTTATGCAAACTTATCAACTTATAATTTGCTTAGCTTAGCAAGTATGAAATGAGTTAAAACAATTTAAAGTTATTTTGGCTTAAAAAAATATAATTATAAAAGAAAATCTTAAATTGACTGATATATCTTTTACTTTAATTTCAGTTCTGGGAAATTATCTCCGATGAGCATGGCATTGATGCTACCGGCGCCTATCATGGCGACAGCGACCTACAATTAGAGCGTATCAATGTCTACTACAACGAGGCGTCTGGTGGCAAATATGTGCCTCGTGCTGTCCTTGTCGATTTGGAGCCTGGCACCATGGACTCGGTTCGATCGGGTCCCTTCGGTCAGATCTTCAGGCCCGACAACTTTGTGTTCGGTCAATCTGGCGCCGGTAACAACTGGGCTAAGGGTCACTACACAGAGGGCGCTGAGCTCGTTGATTCAGTGCTTGATGTTGTTCGTAAAGAGGCTGAATCGTGCGATTGCCTGCAAGGCTTCCAGCTTACACACTCACTTGGAGGCGGCACTGGTTCTGGCATGGGTACCTTGCTAATCTCCAAGATCCGAGAGGAATACCCCGATAGAATCATGAACACATACTCAGTTGTACCCTCGCCTAAGGTATCAGACACCGTTGTTGAGCCCTATAACGCTACCCTATCGGTGCACCAGTTGGTCGAAAACACAGATGAGACTTACTGCATCGATAACGAGGCTCTCTATGACATCTGCTTCCGTACCCTTAAGCTGACTACCCCAACATATGGTGACTTGAACCATCTCGTCTCCCTGACAATGTCTGGCGTCACAACTTGCCTTCGCTTCCCTGGCCAATTGAATGCTGATCTCCGCAAACTGGCAGTTAATATGGTTCCATTCCCACGTCTCCATTTCTTCATGCCCGGTTTTGCGCCCCTTACCTCCCGAGGCTCCCAGCAATATAGAGCGCTTACAGTGCCCGAGCTAACCCAACAGATGTTCGATGCCAAGAACATGATGGCTGCCTGCGATCCTCGTCATGGCCGCTATCTGACCGTTGCTGCCATCTTCCGTGGACGCATGTCCATGAAGGAGGTTGACGAACAGATGCTAAATATCCAGAACAAGAACAGCTCATACTTTGTTGAATGGATCCCCAATAACGTGAAAACGGCAGTGTGCGACATCCCGCCCAGAGGTCTGAAAATGTCTGCTACTTTCATTGGAAACTCGACTGCCATTCAGGAACTGTTTAAGCGCATCTCTGAACAATTTACCGCTATGTTCCGCCGCAAGGCTTTCTTGCATTGGTACACTGGTGAGGGTATGGATGAGATGGAGTTCACCGAAGCAGAAAGCAACATGAACGACTTGGTCTCTGAATACCAGCAGTACCAGGAGGCAACTGCCGACGAAGACGCCGAGTTCGAGGAGGAGCAAGAGGCTGAAGTGGATGAGAACTAAATTCTCTAAAGTTGCGTCAAATAAAATGAGAACAAAAATTAAGTTTTCAACGATTGTTCTTTTAACGTAACCAATAAAGTCGAAACGATTTCTTATAAAAAAAAATAATGTTGCCTTTTACTAGTTGTGAAACTGGTTAGTAACGGATTTGCTCATACATAAACAGCATAGTTTAACTAATAAATGCCGGCTTAATCAAGATATCTCGATAAAAAAAAATGTGTACATACAAGAGCTTAATTTTCGATCGATTGTTCCTATGGTAGTTATCTGTTTGTTGATAGGAGTTTGAATATATGAAAGAAGCATAGTGAGACTTATAAATAACGATTTTGGTCAACATTTAGCTAAACAAGTGGTTTGAGGCAAGAACTTAATTTTCCATCGATCGTTCCTAAGACAGATACATATACGATATAGCGATCCAATCCGGATGGTTTATGCGATGTTACAAAGCGCCATCTTTTAAACTTAAAGACTAGTTTGCATAGAATAAATACTAATACATAGCAAATAAATAAATACTAATAACAAATACTAAATACATAGAATAAAAAGTACTTTATTGGGTCGCTGATGTTTCCTTCTATGTGTTACACATTTAATGACAAACCGTGATCAGCTACTAGCCTGCCCGGGCAGCTGATTGACTATTTGCACAAAAGTTAATAAAGGTGCAGAAGTCCAAATTTCAGAACAAAAATGGTACACATTTTTTTATAAGCCTCCCAACATGAATTGTTTGCTTGCAGAATATGTATTTGTTAGATTTATAATGTTATGGCTGCAAGTTTAAAACTCGAAGCTCCTTTCCTATCTCCATTAACTTCTTTTCGTGCAATAAATAAATAAATCTTCAATCAATTAGACTTAACATGCAAAAACATATATTGTATTCTCCATCTTAAATCAAAACAGAATGTAAACAAGTGTGGCCCCGTAATTTACTTGAACTGAGAACTGAGAACGGGCACATAAGCAAACAAAATCAAATCCAAACCCAGTCTCGGAGCTGATTTCGTTAAAATGTGACCCTAATTTTCACACTTTTTCTGGTCACATTTCACATTTTGTACGTAGCAGCCGTAACAGCTGACCGACGAAATGAAAATCAATTTCAGGAATCCCTCTAATCTAAAAATAATAATATCGATAATAAATTTTTACATGCAATTGCTTCGGCCAAATTTCCTTTCCCTAAGCGAAATTAAAATTGTATTAGCAAATTGTATTCGCAGATAATGCAACATTCGTATAGACAGGACCGTAAAATAATAAGATAAAATGTATGTACATATGTATATGTGAAAATTAATACGAATTTTTATGTTTTCGATTACTTACGTTTGTTTACTTCTCGACTTGCATGATGGTATGAAGACATTTGGTTGACGCATTTCATCCATTAGCCAACACTGCACTTCATATATACGATTTTGAGTGTTGTCACAGACTGACTTTTGGCAAGTAAGAAAGAAAATAAAAATGGTTATAATGCAAAAAGTATATATACATTTAGTAAGTAAATTTTTCAGATGATAGCAATGGACGAGCAGCGCAGCGATAAGATCTATGGCGGGTGCGAGGGGCCAGACGCAATGTACGTCAAACTGATTTCATCAGACGGACACGAATTTATTGTAAAACGCGAACATGCTCTCACCTCTGGCACAATTAAGGCAATGTTATCTGGCCCAGGACAATTCGCTGAAAACGAGGCTAACGAAGTGCACTTTCGTGAGATACCGTAAGTTATACCTGTGATCTTTACTAATTACACACAGTACCCTTTGTCAAATCAAGAGTGGCCTCTTGACCGGTCAAGGGAGTGCAAAATAATTTTCATATATGTATGTATGTATGTATGTGCATGTGTACATGCGGGTTTAATTCCATTAAAACATGTATGTACATAAATATGTAGTCAGTCATTTATACATGAAAAGTTAATCGATTAAATATAGTTATGAATTATAAATTTGTATTAATTTATCAGCAATTGTTTTACGACCAGATCAAGGAAACACATATACGTATACATATGTATGTACAGTTATAAAATAAAAATTTATTTTTATTTTCACAACGCTTCGAAATTATTTCTTAAGCTTAAAAAAGTTATGCTCATTTTGAACCTAAAACCTATGAATAAGTTTCCTAATCTTAAAAACGTAATTAAGACGTCTTTTAAAAAATTCCTTGTGCATTTGTACGCATATTAACAGCCAAGTCGATTCTATATATTATGTTAAATAATACTATATATATTCTATATTCTATATACTAAGTCAAATCGAGCATATTTTCATTCGTGGATTTCACCCACAGTCCAGTAGTACTACATTTTTATAATAAGTTGTATTCAAAACAAGAAGGAAACCCGAAAACAGAATATTTTGTCATATTTTAACCTACTTTTCGACCGATCTTTCCTAAGGCAGCTATATTATATAGTTGCCCTATGTTGATAAGATTTTGCATATACACATATAAGGATCTAGGGGAACTAATTAATGCCGAGTTTTGGTAAGATGTCTTGTTAAACAAAAAAGTTTTCCATGCAAGAACCTACTTTTCGACCGATTGATCCTATGGCAGCTATATGATATAGTGATCCGATTCAGCCGCGACGTATGTATAATTTCATGACGATAGCTTTGAGACTGAGAGACTAGTTCGCATAGAAACAGACAGACGATTAAGGCTATATCGACTCGGCTGTTGATACTGATCAAGAATATATATACTTTATGGGAAGATGTCGACGATGTTTCCTTCTATGCGTTACACATTTCTAGATAAAAGCATAATACCCTTTGCAAGGGTATACAAATTAGGTAAACCTTCAGGCGAGACATTGATTCGAATTTAAAGTACATAAAGTATAATTTGAACTAAATAAAATATATAAATAAGCTTATTATATTTTATATTTTTTATATTTGCTTTTCAGATCGCACGTTTTACAAAAGGTTTGCATGTACTTCACATACAAAGTTCGATATACCAACAGTTCGACTGAAATACCAGAATTTCCGATTGCACCAGAGATTGCCTTAGAACTTTTAATGGCAGCTAACTTTCTAGATTGCTAAGTTATTGGTTAACTTAATAATGTTAAATAAAATTTTTCAAAATGAATAAAATTTAATATATTGTTTTAATGTATTTACATCTGTTTTAAAAGAAGTATCAAATTTAGCTATCCATTACATCTGTTGCAAATATATTTATGTTTGTAATCATAATAACATATATATATATATATATTTATATATAAGAATAATGTTGTCAACTTTAAATGCCAAATTGATTGTATTGAAATTTGTGTATGTAATTACGTATGAATGTATGTGTGTGCGTGTGTGTATGCATACGTAAATTGTCTTCTATAACAGACCAATTTGTCTTGTTGCTGTTAAAGCTGCTCTCCTCCTCGATTCTCAAAAATGTAAGTAAGGCCTATGAATTATGCGCAGGCGGCTTCAATCCTGGAAGCTGAGGAGCCGGAGGAGCACCAAGGGGGCGGAGCAGGAGGCGTATGTTTGTAGGTAGGTAAGTATGTATGTATGTGTGTATGTATATATGCATGTATGTATGTATGCATGTAGGTATGTACAGTATGTAGGCAAGTATGTATGGTATGTATGTACACGTGTGTGTGTATGTAAATGTATGTATGTACGTATGTGTATTTGTATGTATGAATTAATGTGTGTGTTATGTATGTGTGTTTGTATGTTTTTTCACATGCATTTTTACCAGGAATATTGCTGCCAGGCCTTGCACGTGGCACGGTTATAATAAATTCTCTCAAAGATCTGTGAATATAAGTTATAAGCCGATCGGACGGTAAACAAAAAACTTTCATATAACTGTTTTCCGCTAATTTACCACTGTTGCGGGTGGAATTTCTCAAATCCCTGAAACACGTATTCATTAACTTCTTATGTAGAGCTTTGAAAAAAAGTTTGAAGCTAATCGGACAATACTTAAAACTTCACCAAAAACAATCGTAGAATCGCAATTTCCACCGAGCAAGCTTTGATTTTGTGAAAAGTGTGAAACACGTCTAAAATGATTTTCATATTGATCCTTGGTAATACATTTTTGACCCCCAATTCCACCAAGAAGGAATGCATCTTTCGAAAAGTGTGAAACACCCCTCAAATCAATTTGAACAAAAATCCTTGAAAATGAGTTTAAGGACGATTGATTGAAGTTTCATACAAACGTTTTTCGCGATTTTTCCACGCACATGGGTGGAATTTCCCGAAACCCCGTCTTACAGTGAACATTTCAGCTTTCTTTCAGCTCTTACGGTTTGGTCACGAATGAGTCAGTCAGTCAGGTCAAACAGTTTTATATATAGAGTATATATAAAACTACCGTGTATAATTTAACTATATATACGATAAAGAACGTGGCAATGACCTTGATTGTCGATCCGGCTCTTTGAAGGACAACTGTGCGTGTGTGTTTCAATAAATCGATGTCCCACGGCGTAACTATGGTAATCAGGCGGAGGTTCGAGCGGCAAAACATTGTCAAAGTTTTGCATATTGTTAAATTTGGTTTACAATATAGTCGTAATATGGGAATGCTGCACAATTTGTCGGATTTGATCAAAGTGAAAAGAGATAAAATGACCATATTAGTTTTGGGCTTAAATAACAGTGGCAAATCGACGATAATCAACCATTTTAAGAAATCAAGTGAACAGTCGGCCATAATGGTGCCCACAGTTGGATTTCTAATCGAGCAATTTTATAGTAAGTCCCCCCCTTTTTTTTTTTAATTATTTGTTAATCATAAATCATCTCTTTATCCTATAGACATGGGCGTGAGCATCAAAGCCATAGATATGTCAGGTGCCACGAGATACAGAAATTTGTGGGAGCATCAGTTCAAGAATTGCCAAGGGATTATCTACGTAATTGATTCAAGCGACAGGATGAGATTTGGTAACTATATTATATAATACCTAATATATAGAAAATATTTGTCAAACTTTCTTCTTTTTAGTTGTTGTCAAAGATGAATTGGACCTTGTGCTGCAACATCCCGACTTTTGTAATCGTATCGTACCTATTCTGTTTTATGGAAACAAATCCGACCTCGAGGATTCGCTCTCCAATGTCAAAATTGCGGCGGGTAATTAAGCGGCATTAACACGAATTCATTTGGTTTTATTTTTGTTACTGAAATCGAAACTCTCTCGCTTTAGCATTGGGTCTAGAAAACATCAAGGAGAAACCATGGCACATTTGCTCCAGCAACGCAGTTTCCGGCGAAGGCTTGGACGAGGGCGTCCAGTGGCTGGTTCAACAAATACGTTTTGCAATAATGAGCAATAAAAAGGGCAAAAAATTGAAGTTTACATCCAAAGACAATAAATAATTGACGAAACGAGATACAAACAAAGGTGTCTTAGCATTAAAGTGTAGTCTAATGATACTAAATATCACTTGGTTAATATTTGAACATATGTATATATCATTATCTAAGGGGTGTGACAACTGTCCGCCTAGAAGATACTCTGTACTTTAGCTCCTATAAATACACACTCTATAAATATTGTCTAGAAACCTGAGACAATATCTACTACGATATAAGATAAAACTTCTATATGGCTCGATATAATCTAATTGTTATCAAATAATTGCGTTCGTTAAATAATTGATTCTTAGATGGGAACGTCTTAGAACCTAGGATACATACGGACATGGCTGATCATAAATATATGTATTTTATGGGGTATAAAAAAACTTGTTCATAGAAAGTTTCATTGCCTGCTAAACAACATTTGCATTTGTATGCATTACTTTATAGACGCGGAGAAGTCTTCCAGATTAAACATATTTTGACAAATTTTAATGCTCGTTTCTGGCAAATAAATTAGATTAATTTTATGGATTGCTGCTAATTAACATCAAACGAATTTGTGGATCGATCACTGTTTTACAAATCAATAAAATTCGTACATACATATTTTATAATTTTATGTCAGCTCCAGATATATATTTGACTATCAATGACCATCTTTCTAACCATCTAATACCTCTGGAAGTTACTTTGGTGGAAACAGATTACCGCGTGGTAAAGATCTTACGATTGAGATTGCGCTTTAGCTCAAATTATAGAACAGTTTCCGAATGACTTTCACCTATTTCTATCCAGTTCAGTTAATATAGTATATAGTTTTACATTAAGCAATAATGTAGATTAACGTCTGCAAGCTTAAAAAACTGAAAATTAAAAATTTCTCCGATGACGGGTTTATTACAGAATTTTTTAGTTTGTAAACAGCTACGCAAAGTGCGTTTATTTCTTGCTATTTAAGATGATTCCATCGTACTTCTGCTGGAACCACTTCATGGCATCCTCCTTCGTCAGGCGGTGCTGGAAGCCGACGGTGCCAGATTTGCGTTTTCTGTGGGCCACGTTGTAACCTGAAGCAAAAATAAAGAAAATCATGATTATTAACTCTGCAATTAGCAAACAAATGGAAGATTCTTCAGTGTTTAGCGAATTTGTCGAAATTGTACCGTCTGAGTTTGCATGCGAACAAATACATTTAAGCACATCTTCATTTTTTTGCGCACATTTACTGAGCGTCAATTTCGATTTGGAAATAGACACCTAATTATGTGCAGGATTGCTATTTTTTATAGTTTCATAGGTAAGTCTCACCTGGACGTCCCAAAACAACGTAGAAGTCGAGGCCATAGATACCGATGGAGGGATCGTACTTGATTCCCAAATCGATATGTTCCTGAATACCAAATCCAAAGTTTCCAGTGGCGGAGAAGTTGTCACGGCGAAGCTCGTACTCCCGAACTTTCAAGCCACGCTCCAAGATTTCTTCGGCTTTGGCTCCGCGCACCGTGCAATGCACAGCGATCTTTTCATTGCGACGAATTCCAAAGGAACGCACTGTGTAGCGGGCCTTAGAAAACACTGGCTGCTGTCCAGTCAGCTGCTCCAAAACCTGACAATAAACGTTGCTTTGGTTATTTTTCGCAATAATTATTTACATTTTAGAGTACTTACCTTGGCGGCACGGGTAAGCCTATCACCAGATTCACCTACGCAGATGTTGAGGCACAGTTTCCTAATGTGCAAATCTCGCATAGGGTTTTTCGCGGGATCGCGCTTGATTTTGGGTTCCTTCTTAGCAACGGCCTGAAAAATGTATATTTTGGTTAACCAATTTCATATTTAAATCCAAAATAATATTTCAATTATCAAGTAAGACCGAAATTCTCGCACTCTACATTCATAGTTTTTAATAATATGGAAGGATTATGGCCGATGTGAAAGAATTTACTCTTGACAAGAATTTCAGAAAACCTACCGCCATTATGGTATGTAGGAAAGAAAGGAAAAAGGCGTGTTACAGTTCAGTGTCAGCTATTGTCATCGATAATGGCTATCGATTCTAATCGATAGGCAACAAAAACACAGAGACATTCCACAAAAAATAAGTATAAAATATATATCATTTAGATGTTAATTTTAGAAAATATATCATATAAAGGGAAATCTTCAGCAATTAGTCGCCCTGTCACTTAAGCAACAGAACAGCGAGGATCCTATATTAAATCCCAGACAAGTTTTGTCTTAATAACAAAAATATATTAAAATGTATAGTTGTTGGATCAGATGATCCATAACCATTTGACCGTCTGTTAGTTCGGAAGAACACAAGTATTTTGGAGCCTATAAAAGATAGAGAGACTAATTTAGAGATTATTTTAAATGTTTGATAACTTCACTGTTTTCTGATATTTAATAAATATCGATTAATGGGCTTGGTAATTTTATAGCGATTGGACAAATCAGCATTTCACGAGTGAAACGATAATTGAAGCATTCGCCGTTTTCATATACATTTCATACAATACCGATGTATCGATTGACTATTAGCAACTCTACAATATGGCTGCCTGATTTTAATGTGATTTTTTTGGACGACGTATGCTGCTGCTTTGCCTAGTGTATGTGGTTAAAAAAGATTATTACAGTAATCTTTTAAGTGCAACAAAGAATTATTTATATATTTGTTGCAGCGTCCGTAAACCAACATAATTGACTTAATTTATATGGCGCAATATCAAGTTACTTAGAATGTCTTCTATCGCTGAATTGAATTAATGACAATGTAGCTGTTTAAATACACAAACAATATTTAGACGAAAAAGTCTTTGTGAGCCAAATTAGTCTGTAAAAAACGCGATAATTTAGTTCCATAACTTGAAAACGGTTTTTATAAAAAAAATCTTATTGAGAAATATACATAGCTGCTGTGAGTGAGCGAGTGAGAAAGATACATACATATGTATGTATGTATGCATTTGCATTTCGTTGTGTAGTGTCGTCGACTGCTCGGTAAAAGTCGGTCTTTCTTTTCCACTAACACTTGGCGTTTGAAAATTAAAAAAATTAAGTAATAATGTGTTATATGAATGAAACAAGGCGTAAGGTAATGGATCGCGTATGACTTTCAAAAAGCTTATGTCGATGTACCGAGATTTTCTGACCTAATATTGTTTGTTCAGGAATTATTTTTATTGGTAAGTACCATGGGGATTCATATGGCTATGGCGAACCAGCAAATCAATATTTTAGGGGGCTGCCATTTCGTTCGCTGTTTCGCTAGTTTTTCTCTTCCATTCGCTGCCGCTGTCTGCCCCCGCTTGCCCAACCGCCCGCAAACGCCCTGTCAGCCCCCGTGGCACAAGAAAATAAACTCTGCGTGCTTTGTAATAACGAGTACATTTTCTGGGCATATAAAGCAAAAAAAAAAAAAAAAAGCCTGAATAAAGAAATTGACATAAGTAATGTATGTATGTATGTACATCGGTTTAAATGTAAATGTGTGCGTGTGTGATGTTAATCGTTAATGTGCATAAGTTGTTCTTTTACGAAGTGTAATTGTGTTTGTGGATATTTTCTATCAATAATTTTGTTTAATCACATTCGGAAAATGTATAGATGCATTTGCAACAGACAACTGATACTCTGTTGATTTAAACATAAACCTAATATACAACTACATATATTTATATATATGTATAAATGCATATGTATGTGTATGTATATGTACAATTATGAAGATGGTCGAGAGATATGTGTATAGTTATATATATATATAAATATATATATAATAATGTATTATAATTAAAGGGTGTGTGACGCAAACATTTGTATGTATATTTACCTACTTGTATCGTTTTCAATGTATTTCCTCCCCGTTGGGTTGAGTACTTTTATTTTATTAGTCCTAAGGCTGCTATAAGATACTGTGGTCCGATCCGGCCGATTCTGACATATGTACTGCCCACAACAAAAGGACAGACTAGGCAAAGTTCTATGACAATATCTGACATTATAAACTGAGAGAAATATATACGTTTATGTTTATACATATATGTAATATATGTATACTTTATGGGATCGGATATATGTTCTTCCATACGTTATACATTTTACAGTTATAATATCTTCCACAAGTTGAAAATCTCATCCTCATTCAATATAATGAATTATCTATTTGTTTGTTTGTGAAACAGAAGTTTCTAACTCGATTTGATAAGTTCATTGAATACTTTTTGTAAAATCCAATCAGAAAGTTTATTTTTGGTCCGATTGGCTTTAAATATTCATTGCTCTACATCATATTTTCAAAAGTTTCCCCCCACTAGGAAATGGAAAATAGGTGTCAAAGTAATGTGTCGGCAGCCTATTATCATTATAGATATATATATATAAATATAGATACATCTACATATAGATATATGTATCGGACGTAACGGCGATGTCTTCCAATATGTACGACATATTGGTAAATGTTGAGCAGATTGTGCTGGAACTGATCTCAAGTATTACGTCTATTGAGAATGTTACTTTAAAAATTCCACGCAAATGTCGAGATTGGTACGACCCAAACAATTTTGAGGGTAATATCGGAGTATTTGCGAACGTGAAGGAAATCTTTAATTTCCGGAAGATTATGTACAATCAGCGACGCAGTCGTCATCGGTTTTGTCTGATTGTGTATATCTTGGCCGAGATCCATAGTTTGCATTTGTCTGGCGGTAGTTGCACAATCCGGGGACTCTACTATCGGGACACTCACGTGATTCGTTCGCAGACGTACATTGTGGCAGCCAAATTGGATGTCTGCCGCATGCTGAACACGGCGCCCGTTAATCTGGGCATATTATCCGCGTCGAAAGGACTCATTGCAGGTGTGAAGTTTTGTCAAACAACAATTTGGTGTCAAAAATTAACTATTTCTCTCTTTTAGGAGACATAAAGCTGCTCATGAGCAATGGCGATATATTGGACTGCAACGTCTATTGTGGGGCTATAACATTGCCAACGGATTTTGAGAATGTCGAACGCATTGTGACAAATGCCGAAATGGTCTTGATCGTTGAAAAGGAGTCTGTTTTTGAGAGCTTGCTTTCCTGCAATGCCCTTAACACATTCGGCCTGCGTTTCATATTGTTGACCGGCAAGGGATATCCGGACTGCACTACTCGCCGAATTGTATACAGACTGTCCGTTGAGTGCAACTTGCCTGCCTATATCCTGGTAGATGCTGATCCATTTGGCATTGAGATAATGCTCATTTACCGACACGGTTCGCAGGCCATGAGCTTCTCTTCCAAGAGTCTTGCCACACCAATGCTGCGCTGGATTGGCTTGCATCCGTCCGAAATTGACCGTATTTCCAAACGCGCTGTTGCCCTTAACAAATACGACAATAAAAAGATTGCTGATATTCTTTCTCGCAGTGATATTAGTCTGGGTGTTAGGCAGGAGCTGCAGACGCTGCAGAAAATCCAGTTCAAAGCTGAAATCGAGAGTGTCATTGATTTTTTAAGTCCCTTCTATATACCCACTAAAATTAATAGGAATTTGTTCTTATAATTATTTCAAATAGTTTTGTGATCTAATTGATAGAAACTTAAACTATTATTAACTATATCGGAAAGAAGGTTACGGCCAAAAGTTGAATAAGAAATTTCCATGCACCCAAAGCTATGTTTATGTAAAAAGTAGCCTAAAAGATACTTTGTTTGCATAAAAAGAATTTGTAATAATATTTGAAAATTGCATTTCTTATTTGTTGTTGCCTTTTATTTGTTCATGTACACAATCTTGCACAACAATTGAAAAAGTCTTGCTAAAATTGTTTCCATTTTCCACGATTTAACTCTTAAAATGTTCAATATAATTTTTGTTATTACAAAAAAGGGAAACTAAAAATGGTGTCTCATAAAAATAAAAATAACTAATTATATTTGATCCAAAACACGTTGAACCACTTTTCGACGAGCCAATTCTTCTAATGTTTTACATTAGTGGAGATCCTTTCATATTTGAGGATGTCAAGTGGCTTGGCTTGAAACAAAGATACTTTTAACATAATTAAATGCTATTGGGATGCAAGTATTAATCTATCTAAACATATATACAATGCAGATCCCAAAAGATCTTTTTAGATATGTTTACGCTACTTGCAATGCGATGATTTTGAAAATTTCTTCAGCATGGGTGAGAAACGGCCTTAAAATCTTCTTGTCTTTCATCTAATCGGATAAAAATTGCTTTTTAAAACATTTCCTTTGAAAATTCCTGGATGAACCTTCACATATATACTATATATATTATATTTATAGATTAAGCGTTGTATGCTCGCTAGATCGGAAAGTTGGTAGAACATTTTTGAATTACCTTTTGTATCCCCTAAACCCATTGATAAAAATTGTATAATAGCTCTTTGTAAATGTGTGTAACAGACAGAAGGAGGCAATTTTCAAGATCAGCAGGAGCAGCAGCCATGTCTGCCTCTCCGTTCTATATATCTGAAACTCATAGAGCTAGACTATTCAAATTTGGAAAGTAGGTCCTATGAAATAGATAAAAATCCACCCCTCGTTACCCAGAATATTGTAAAAATAGTTGAGGCATAGCTTAAGGCTTTGGTATTTACATTCGTGGGGAAGCTTTATAGTAAATAATTAAATGAAAAAGGTTAACACATGCAAGTTATACTATTTCAAAATGGAAAATTAGCAGTACAACATGAAATCGTTGCTGCTAAATTCATATCTTTTTCATGACTCTAACCACGGCTAAAAAAACTTGCCAAAGTAGGGATGGGCAATCTATAAAACCTTCGATCCGAAACTGGATTTTCTTCATGTATTCGTGTTTATAGCAAAACCAAATTGTATAAGTTTAAATATAAAAGAAAACAAATGCTTGAGTTGGGTTTATATGGAGGAATACACAAAAATGTTTATTTTTTTTTACTATTTACGATATGTTCTAAGAAGCAATATTTGGACAGCACAAATCAAACATATATTTGACTATGATCATTTTTGAACCAATTTTATAATGCGCAGAAGCATGAACCATTTATAAGAACAACATTCCAAAGCATCTTAGGGTTACTTAAGAACTTGCCAAAAGTTAAATACAATATATTGATTAGAAAACTTAAGAGAATTGTAATAGCATATTAATAAATCATTTATATTATGCAACTAAAAGTACATTAGTATTATGGTGTTATTATTTAAATGCATGCCGTGACTAAGACTTCATTTTGTTTAATTTAAGAAGCAGACTTCTGTCGAATCCATCGGCGAATGCCTTATGTCATTTATCAAAATAAGTCCATATTCGATTAAGATACTTTGCACTTTTGCAAATGCTTCTGTCCCAAAACTTAAAAAGCGAGAATTACTTCTGAGTATTAACTAAGATCTATTGTGACATCTCCTAGTCGAGTCGAATACCGACTAGAAATATTATTTTTGAATATTTTATTTGATTTTTCTCATTATTACTACCTGGTATTTCATGGCCGAAGAGTTTTTCTTTAAATTTTCGGCCATGGATTTATTAAATTTTACCCGTGCAATCCCGAAGATTAGCTGGTTTTTCCTGTACTTCCTTGATCTCCACGTCGAAAACTATATTTAACGAAAAACAAAAATTGATTTGCGTTTGAGGTCGATCGAATGGTCGTTTATTTTAATTTGTATGCTGCCATTTTAATACCCTTTGTTAATCTAGAAGAAAGCTAAAAGAAATCTAGAAGACAGCTAAAAAAAAGCTCGAAGAAAGCTAGAAGAAAGCTAGAATGTTAGCGCGGCTAACTTTTCAAAAACTAATTGTGCATGTTTGAAACTTGTAAATAATTTGATGCTGTTTGCTTTTGATTTTATTCGACAATTCTGCAAAAAACGTTTTACATCGCTTATTTACAAGAAAATCCTGTATTTTTCCTATGTTTTAGGTGTAAAGTGGCTCCACGCACAGATGATAGCAAATAACTACTCATTAGGAAATTAAATAAATTTAAGATATATTAAACGGCAAGTACTTTTAAAGGAAGAAACGAATCGAAGGAGGAGGGTAGCATCGAACCAGAGAGATTTGGCGAAAATATGTCTACAGCAATGCGAACAACTCTGCAACCAGTTCCTGAAGCCCTGCCCGCAGATAATGTCTCCAATGGCACTGCGACTCCGGCTGCGACGCCAGCGTCAGCGTCAGCGTCAGTGTCAACGTCAACGGCGACGGCGACGACGACAGCCGCTGCAAGCACAACCACGTATACGGCCAATACAATCAGCACGTCTGCGCATTCCGTGAAGGATCAGCAGCAGCAGCAGCAGCATGACTCAGCCAATGCCAACATTGTCTCACTGCCACAAGCGACAACAACAAATGCGACAACAAACGCGACAACGACAATGTTGCCGATATCCTCGTCCTCGAACTCAGCAAGTAGCAATAATACGACAACAACAACAACCACGACAACAACACCTGTGGCACCTGTAACAGCTCCCACGACGAACACCAACTCGCATTCGCACCAGCACAGCCATCAGCATCAGCATCAGCACCATCATTTGGCCAACAACATGGCCACGGATGGTGCTCGCCTCTCAAGCAATAGTAGCAACGCAGCATCTGGTGCAGCTACCGCGATCAATCACCATCATCATCATCCGCCCGGAGGAGGAGTGGGAGCGGGAGCTGTGACCAGCTCGGTTAACAAGAACGTTCTCAGCACACACTCGGCCCATGCATCTGCCATCAAACAGCGAACAGCATCCGCCAAGGTAAGCTATTCTTTATTCTTTAATCTCTGTGTATTCATCGAACTGTTGCGTCCGTCCAGATTTAAGATCACGCCAACATATATATATATAGATATATATCTGTGCCTAGGGTCGGTTCGGTATCGGTTAATGTCTACGTCCAATATTATTGTCAAATTTTATACGTATTCATATTTGTGGTTTTTTCTTACTTCTTGTTAATGTGAATTCATCTTCATTGTGACTGCATTTCGGATACTTTTTTCTAATATTGTAATATTCGTAAGGTAAAAATTTGCATTACTCGACTTATGACCTAATTCCACTGTCCACATTTCTTACATTCTTTGTCACATTTTTGCCTTATGTTAAAAAAGTGGCCTGTACGTTTTCCCATTAGAAAACACATTTTTCACATTCTTCAAAAATGTCACATTTTCAAAAATGTGTGTATTCGCCCCGAATAATTCGTGGTTTTTCGAATTTCGTATCGATGTTATGAAAAATTCGAAAGTATTATTACCAAAAAAAAAGCTGATATCGCAACGAATGCAAGCGGTAACTTTAAATTATAATTTAGAACTTTAATAATTCCACAGTTTTAACGATTTAAAGTTGGGCAAATTTCGCAATGTGTCCATTAAATGGAGCTCCTATTTTGAGGTCGTATTATTTGACTTTTGGACGGAAAACTTTGGTAAATCAAAGCAAACCGATTAGCTGTTTATTTAAAGAAGCGGTACTTTTTCCACTCACATGTTACCGACAATGGAACCACATAATGTGAAGTTTGAAAATGTAACATTTTTGGAGCATAGTGGAATTAGGCTATTAATTGAGAAAAGAAATGGGCAAACGGGTTTCTACATTTGTGTAAAATCAGCAAATGAGTTAAATGTAATGTTGACCTAGGTCATATATAGATAGTTGCTTGAAATGGTGCTTAAATCCATCGTAAATATAATATTATGCTTTATTCTGAGTTTTTCAAATCAACAAATATAGGCTTATATGAATTCCAGAATGTTTTCGAAATAAGTTCTGTGTTTAATTAAGGATATAAATGTGTCTATAAACCAAATCATAGGGATCTTTACAAATAAGTTTTTATTTCATTTTGCAGGGATTGAGAAGAGGTATCGAAAGAGTGGAGTAATTCCAATGTGTATGCCCATGCCTTAAAATCGATTTTTATCGATATTTTGCAGATTTCCAAATTTCAAATTTATCTTCAAGTTTCGTGTACTGCGATTATCGATAATTCTTTTCTATCATCGAAACCTTGCCACATTTTCAATTTCGATATCGAAATCCTGTTATTTGATCTGTGCTTGCAATTTGCGAACCTACTTTAACCCAATCTTGTCGTCATCTGTCATCTTAAAGGTTGTCGAGGTTCCTTGTGGAATCGGAATGTGTTTGCACGCTTTTCCAATGTTCCAAGCAGTGGGAAATAGCTGAAGATAAGAGTAATATATGCGGAAAAGATAAACAGCTTGATTTTCAAACTGTTTTGTAGATAACATTGTATCAGATGCTCTGATTTCTGATTTCAAACTTTTGTAACCATTGCAAAATTGAATTTCTTTTCCGTGCTATTGTAAACATTAAATTATAAAGTTTTTACCATCGTCTTATCATTAAAATGTATTTCGATTATATTGTTTGTCAAAGAAAGAGAATTTAAAAGAGCGGAAATGGGCTCCAAGCTCATTTACAAATATTTATGTTGATTTTAATTTGAAATAGAACAAATAAATTTTAATATGGGTGAAAAAGTATTATCTAAAATTCGAAGCGACAAACTTTTTAACGGGCCAAATCCGAAGGGTACTTTCCGCTAGTCTATCTATAAATGCAAAAGAGAAAGTATGGATATCTCCGCACGACGAAGATTTAATACGCTTTAAAGTACTTGCTTTACGGCTTTGAAGATATGTGAGAAAAGTGAAGCTCGCGAATGCTGAATTTGGGGAAAATATCTTGGAAAACCAGAATATTTTTACTATACAAAAACTAATTGCTCGAACGATTCTTCGACCTTGATAAGATTTGGCTCAGATATAAGTTTTATAGTGAAAATAGTAACTGCCGAGTTTGGTCAAGATATCTATCTATTACCTATGTACAAAGTCGTCTTATATATTTTAGAGCGTATCTACTAGTCGGATACAGTTAAGACTATATCACGTTATATACTTGTAAATTGGAATATGACTTGATGTGGGTGTGAGTAACTATTATATCAAATACAAGTGCAAGTGTAATCGACAGAAAATGACTGAATAGAAGAAGCAAAGAGTATAGCAATTTTTAAATTATCGTTACTTTTCTGCCATTCTCACTCGTTTCTTGTCGATTGATGGATCATAAAAGTCAAAAGCGTTCAGATCTTCGGATCTTTTGCTACTTAGTTGAAAACTGCTTCGCTCCGCACATCAGTTATTTTTGTTTGATTGCCAAAGCTCGCTCTGGCTCTCTCAACGGAAAGCTTAAACTTTTTTGAGTGTTTCT